AGAGATGAAACAGTTGTGTAAGTCCAGTATCACCCAGTTACGAGATGATATTACCATTACGAACAGTATTTTTACTAGTTAGTAAGCAAAAATTCATAAGCGACAGATTTTGCCGATATTTTAAATTTTCAAAATAGAATGTCTATTAGAAATGTGTTGAGATGTGGACTTCGTTTTCTCTCTTAAAATCGCAACTATCCTCTATCCAGGAGGTATGGTCAGTTCGCGATCAAAAGACAAAATAAGGTACCATGCTCATAAAGCCAAAAAGCACAGCTGTATTTTGGTCGGATGGACGAAAGCATCACTTTTAGTTTTTTCAACGGCAAATAGACTACATCTACTATACAGCCAGAATCGTCAGCCATCTAGGGGTTACATGGTGACTGAGCTATTGAACGCGAACCGAGATTTCAATGATTGACGTTTTCAAAGTCCGTGAGGCGTCCCCCCTTTTCCCCTGTATCCCCCTATAGCCCCACGGTACCCCATGAGTGTTTAGGCCTTAGATCTGCTGGAGTATATAAATGAAAAATGCCGCATTGTGATTGCCGAAGTTGTTTATTCACATCACAGCATACGTGAACGTCCTTTAACATTTATCACGCATGAGCTATGAGTGTCAAAATAAGGCTAACGTTATGTATCACTTATAGTGATTACTTGTAAGGTTTTTGGAGTTAAAGCTACGGATATAGCTTTCAAATCACCAATGACATGTCACACCTATTTTTTATATTTTTTTATTTATAGGTGAATAATCTTATATTATGTCAATCACGTTCAACGTGAAACTGAAATACCATTTGAAGTAAATTTATGAAATGACCCAAAAATGCGGACGCTTATTCCTGAAAGAATCAAATTCTTGAAATTGTATATTTTTCTGATATACGTACGGTTCTGGTAATAAAAAAAACGCACTCCTTGATACTTGTTAAAAAATGCATTTACAATGAAAAAAAAATATTTGAAACAGAATATAAACACAATGACAATACTTATGAAACATCCGATGCCATGAACCATTTTCTAAATCATACTTTGCAATAAAGTTAATTTTTTAAACAAACTGAACATTCGAAAGGTATTTCTTGACAACGGAATAAGTTAAAAGCCGACTTTAGTGATCATCATTAAGAAGTGAATTCTTTACGAAAACTGAAATGTGTACATGAAGATCCAAAAAAAATTGTAGCATGTCAACAAAACAGTAAACTGTTGTCCTGTGGAATAATCACCTGACAAAATATGTACACTGGTAGCAATTGGAAACTTAAAGACATTTCAGACAATATATATACAATAGAACTGATTACTTTACTGTGCACCTAACTAAAATTTTTATGTCTTAATATTAGATAATACTTAATATAAATCGTAATAATTGTTGTTATCGGTTTCAACAAAGGGACTAAAATCCAATTCGTATTAACGTTAGATTTGCTGGCCAAGATTATGTCCGTTTTCACTCCCACAGTATGCAACGTTTTCGTAAAATCTGTTGTACAGATTTGTCGAAAGCTTCGGTCTTCGGCCAAACGAGGGTGTCTTTTTTTTTGCCGAAGGCCGAATGTGTGGCCGACGGTGTATTTTTGGCCAAAACCGATACCGAAGCTTCAATCGGACTACTTAAAATATATAGATATAAAAAACGGCAGGGTTATGCAAAAAAATTATATGATGTCAAAAAATCTGTAAAATATTCACTTGTGCACTCGGTAGCCGCCAGTGTGCCGCTAGTTCATTCTTTGCCTAATACAGGTTGTGCATGAAGTGAATGTCAGCAAGTTTATAGATACCATTTTATAGGAAATCCTACATGATATCGATCTACGAGGGTGGTTCCATAAGTACTGAGCCTACAAAATAAGAACGATAATTTTGGAAATGTGGCGAATTATTTCTCATTCAGCTCGATACACTTGACCCAGTGATGATATAACTTCTTTTACACTTCTGAAAAATAAGTTTTCTGGGCGTCTGCAAAGTAGGCCTTCGTGACGGCGTTAACCTCATTCGACTCAAATTTCTGACTTTCTCAAGTTTGGAAACAAAAAGGAGTCGCACGCTGCCAAATCTGGAGAATACGGTGGATGGGGCAGAATTCCATAGCCTAACTCAATTTGGCGTGTAAGTGCACTTTTCTTTTCGCCAAATAGAGCCGTTATTTCTGCAATTCGGCGTCGAGTCGGCCCAATAATTGGGCATAGTAGAGCCCTGTGACCGTTTTGCCCTTCTCCAGGTAGTCGATGTAGATCACACCTTGTGAATCCCAGAAAACGATGACCATCATCATCGTTGAAACTCGTTAAACCAATACGGTCGCCATAGGAGGAAAAGAGTCTTCGTACACAGCATTCACGCGTTCTTTGACTTCGCTGCGCGATTTCCCTTCCAAAAACAAGAATCGAATCACCGACCGATATTGCTCTTTTTCCATTTTTCTAAAATCCGCGGTCAAAACAAAACTACTGATACGATTCGGCTGAAATTTTGACAGTAGCTGTCTACGAGAATGTACTGTACGATAGTAAATTTCTCTTTCTTGCGATAGTGACGCCACCGAGCGGTGATGCTAAGTAGTTTTTGGACCGCCCTCGTATAAGAGGATCTAGGACTTTGTTGAAGAAGGTCTGAAATCTAGTAATGCCACTGTCATTCACCTTGGTTTCCGGTCGTCACGGCAATAAGAGCTATAAGTCGCGCGCGACGGAATTGAGGTTAGGGTAGCCACTATAGTGTGTTAGGTATGTGAAAAGGGGCAAGGTCCTAGTGGTCTGCCCCCGGAACCGTCTTGGTGCAGTAACAAAGCGAGAAATTGGCCATTTCGGCCTAAAGACATTAGTGCCCTTTTGGCAGGGTGGTGCAATCGGTGGTGGAGTGTGGGGGATGAAAAGATATACTCACCCTCCAAATTTCAGGCGAATCGATCAACAAATAAGGCCGTTATAACAAGAATAAGATACAAGAGGTATCAGGAGCCCAGAAGAGAAACGAGTCCAAAATAACGGACTTAGAATAAATGAAGCAATTCGGAAGGAATTTGGCAGATATGGCGATGGAGGCGCTGTTGAGGGGGGAGATACCACGACGACATGGGCAGGAGGAGCAGAGGAAGAGGAAGGGAAAAGAAAAACATTTTACGAAGAAAGGAAGATCGGAGAAAGAATTGGGGACTGGAGGGGGTGAGCTGTTGGACGGGAAGGCCCCGGACGAACGAGGGGTGACAGCAAAAAAGGACCAAGAAGAAGGGGAAGAGGAAGGGGTAGCTAGGGTCAGGAGTATGATTGGGAACATAACTAGTATGTGCAACAATGTTACAGAAGCCACGAGTAGGATTGCGGCGGGGAGAAGCTCAGCTTCACCGTGGGTGACAAAGTGGCAGTCGCAAATGGAATGAATGGAATTGCGAGTAATTGCGTCAATTTTCTGGGTGAGTTATGAAAGTGTGGAGGCAATGGAGAAGGTCTGAAGCACGTATGATGAATAGGATGGAGCGTATGGATGAGAAGCTAAACTGGGTGATTGAAAATGTGAAAAGCGTTAGGAAAAGGGGGGAAAAAGAGGGAGACGTAGTGGAACGAGAGGCAGTGAGTGGGACAACGAAAGCAGAAAGCTCCAAGGAAGCGGCGGAGATGGAAGAGCGCCTGCGCACGTATGCCAGTACGGTAGCGGGAGGGCCTGCGTTTCAAGGAGCGCAAAAAATGACGAGAGTAAGAGTGTGCGAAAGGGATGGAAGACGCCAGAGAAGATTGTTAGGAATGAGCTGGTAGTACGAATGGAGAACGAGCAAGATACTTGGAAAGCGTGGATGAAGATAGAACGGGCGTGGGTATGGTGGCAACGCGGAGCGGCCAGGTCGAGGTTCAAGCTTCCGAAAGAGTTGGGGGAGTTTCCTCGTCCTTACTGGGGGGGAGCTCTCCGCTATTTACAGGGGGCTGGAGACAGGGATACAATTACGTGCTGACATCCTGGAGGTGTTCACCGACTGCAGGGTGGCGTTTGACAGCTTGTGGAGTTACGGAATGAAGGGGAAGATACGAGTGAAGATAAGACGCTGATTGGAAGGATGAGAGCAGAGGGGATGCATGTTGAGATAAGATGGATTGAGAGGGGAGCATGTGAGTTCATAAAAATGGCTGAGAGGGAAGGCAGAGAGACAGGGTGGATTGGAATAATGAATGGTGGTACGAAAGACATACTAGGAGAAAGAGCATGGAGAAGCGTATGATGCAAGAATGGCAGATTAAATGGGATACAAGCGTAAAAGGTAGGGAGTTGTATGAGCTTTGTAGGGAGGTTGGGAATGACCGCTTCCTCGTAAGCTTCAAAGCTTGTGACGGAACACGGTAACTTCCCGGCCTACGTCCATAGGTTTGGATTGATGAGAGGTATGTATGCGAATGTAGAAGAGGGGATGAAAGCGCAAAGCATATCAGAGAGGAATGCGGACTGGAAGGGAGACAGGATGCTAGGGAGCGAGTGAGGCACATCTGGGGTGGCCTAAGGCCACAGTTGAAGGTGGAAAGGAAGTTGAATGACAGGGCAATTGAATAAGTGAATGAATGGGCCGAAAGAGTGGTGATGGATGGATAGCAGTGAAGCTCGGTTTCGAAAATTATTGTGAGATGTCGCTATTCAGCTTCATTTGATAAATGTAATTTAGTTCGGGTTTTTTCTTTTCTTTTATTATTGTTTTTATTAGGTAAATGATAACTTTAAGATATTAGTTGTGTGTGAATTTTAGTTTAATATGTAGTTATCAGTTTAGGTTTTGTTCTTGCTAATGTTTATTTTGAATGTGTAATGGAAGGCCCCAGAAAAAAAATAAATAAATAAAAAATTGAAAAAAGAAAAAAAAGAGAAACAAAAGGGGGCACTCTTTCCTCGCTAATTTTTTGATGGCAGCGCTTGGTGGGTTTCTTTGGTGGTGTTTTGCTAGAAGCAGTGGGAAGGTACGAGGTTAATACCGAAAGGTGGGGAACCAAGTAACTCACCTTATTTGACAGGCAATCCAGGAAGTCACGCTTCATATCGGAGACAGCGACTCTGTCATTAGGCCTCTTCGGTCCGCTAACGGACGAGACGACAGTTGCCAAGTCCAGCTCAACAGAAAGGCTGTATTTAGGATCGCTGTCAGCAGCATTGTAATCTCTCAGCTGTTTCGTTGCCTTCAGGTACGCCTCTATTACGCGGATCTGCTCTTCAGAGCGATCTGAAATAATTAATATTTGTTAAAGCCTCTCCATACTCATGCGAGAATCTCGCGAGGAAGCGAGAAAAACATGAGAAATATGAACGTGAAACCGATTTTCATAAAGCGGCCTTGGTATTGTGCGCATTAGCATACTATAATTAGTCAATATTAGTAGATAGGGTTTGTATGTTCTGGGACGCCCTTGAGCGCCGACCTTCGGTGCCAAACGACCTTGAGAGCTGACCTTCGGTGCCAACCTTGAAATGTAACCTTGAAACGTGATATTGAGTTTCCGAGTGACCTTGAAGTGTGACCTTGAGTTTTTCGAGTGACCTTGCAGTGTGACCTTGAGTTTCTGAGTGACATTGAAGGGCGACATTGAGTTTTTGAGTGACCTTGATTTTTCGATTAACCTTGAAGTGTGACCTTGAGTTTTCGAGTGACCTTGAAGTGTGACCTTGAGTTTTCGAGTCACCTTGAAGTGTGACCTTGAGTTTCCGAGTGACCTTGAACATATATGACCTCGATCACTCTCGACCTTGAGTGGGTGTGACGTTGTAGGAGTGAACGACCTTGAGATGTAGATGGGATGACCTTGGAAATATATGCTTAAATTGTGGAACTCGCCGAGAGAAGTCAGTTCTGTAGTTGCAAATGGCGCAAATGGTACGGTACTAGTGGGATGCAGAATATAATATTGGCGAAGAAAAGTAGGTGTTTAGTCTGTCAAACGGAGAAACTATTGAAGCATGCAAAGGAGTTTCGCTTCATTCGTAGGTGGTGTTATTGCGAGACATTTTTAGTTTATTGTTGGCGTGTACTCAACACCGTCCCCATAAAATAGGATGGATCTTCGAAACGGATGACGAAAATCAGTGGTGTTGGAACTGGGACTCGCCATAGAAGTAATGTCAGTAGGGAGCGGATTCCTAATTAAATGGAGTGAGCTGCAAGATGGACATAGGAGTGCGATATCCATATGAATTGATATATGAAAGAAGTGTAATAAGTAATGCATATGTAGAATGGAGCGTGTGTCAAGAAAGTTATGCGAAGGGTGTAGAATGGAGCGAAGACCGTTGTCAGCAATATTACTACATCGGTACCACAATGATGGGATCAATAGGCCCAGACGATGGATGACACAAATTTAACGCAATAGAACAAGGTTTGTATTTGTTTTTTACTTTGAAAGAATAAATGTAATAGCTCTATTATTATCTCCTATAAACAAATTACCCTGCCGCTGAAATTAGCACGAGACTAAACGAGAATATTGATAGTGTCTCCTTTCTCGCCGAGAAAACCCTTTGAAGCGGACGAAAGTACCGACATCGTCCGGAGAACAGGCGAGCCCGAGTACGAACCTGCGAGAAAGCCGTCACATTCACACTTCTCGGGTGTTCTCGGGGCATCTCGCCGTGAGTCTGGAGGCCGCTTAATCTTCGCAGGTGCTCAGCTTGTTCTCCGATTTTTGTCGGTTTCTTTGACGCGAGACAAAAGAGCTGAGAACGCGAGGACAGGCGACTACTTGTATTGATTCCGCACTCGCATGTTTCTCAGTGGCAGGTGACTCGTCGATTAGAACAGTTGTGCATGGTATTCACTAATGAACATCAATATGAGCCGGATTTCGACGAACGAACTAGAATTGGCATTCGTAGAATATTTTCAAGCAGAACCGATTTTGTGTAATACAAACTCAAAAGAATATAAAAATAAAAGCCCATGATGCGTGGAAACGTATTAGTGCCTTGATGGAATTACTCATTGAAGAATTAAAAATTAAAAAAAATCGTTATTAGCCAGCTACAGAGGGTATAAGAATAAAATCAAGACACAGACGTTCTCACCGAGATTTTCGCTAAGATTCTTGCCTAGATTATCGGCGTGAGTGTGGAGCGGCTTTTAGACTGTTGACAGCGATATGCTAAAGATTTGTTGCGACTTATGAACAATTGGGCTCAGTAATGTTGGACATGGCAAAGCAAAGACATCCCAGTTCAGCAATGATGGATACAAATAACTTAGGAACTATTGATTTTAGAAAAGCCGCTTTATTTCTATGGTATAGGATTTAGACAATTTCGACAAGACCAACATTAACTACATTGGATTTCCAGTTAAGTCAAATAATCGTTGGTTGTCAGAATGGTCCGTAGAACCTTAGCTCTTGTCTTAGTATCAGTTCGTGAGTCTTTTAGGTCTGGTCACCCAGAAATCCTACAATGTTAAAGAGAAAGGGGAAGAAGAAAAGAAGGAAGGAAGGGAGAGGGTAACACAGAAGAAGATAATCTTTAGATCGTGGAGCAATTAGGCATTGTTAAAGTCACAGGTCAAATATTATATACCAAAAATACTCGAGTCGAACTAAGCATTCCAAGCCTTTCAAACCTCGACGCGCCCACTATAAGACTAGGCATTACAGTATGGTCATGTATGCACCGATATGTATACAGAAGTATTTAAAAAATGATGATGTCATGGTAATTGTGGTCAAAAGAACACCATATTTAAAAATGGCAAACAAATCACAAAATATTATTTCATTATTAATTACTGGATTATTCGCAAAAAGTATAATCACAAAATATGTTTACCTTCAGAAAAAGAATAAATCGACCCTTAAGCAATTAAAATCGGTTCAATGGTTCCCAAGATTTGTTGAATAACCGTTGTACAATTTGGCCGACATTTTTAAATATGCGTGACCTCGTTTTTTATGTATAGGTGCATAATAATAATTCCAAATTAAGGTCACATATGAGTTCACACGTGGCCATGGTGACTGATCCCAGACTGAAAAATTTGCAATGTTATCTCAATTTTGCGATAAGAATAAAATGAACTTTAGAACGTTAAAATCGGCCTTCTGGTTAGGCATATATCCGACTTTTTACATACTCCTATAGAGGTGCCTGGACTAATACGGTCCAAACAAAATTGCTTTTGAAGTTATACCACACGATATAATTTCAATAGATATGTCCTTGAAAATGATTCTCCAAATGAAACAACACTTCATAATTATGTATGCCAATGTTTTGCCTTACACGGAATATTGTTAAAAGAGTACTTACTTGTCTGCCTAAGATAGTCCAACGAGTTGATGTCGACGGGGAAGTAACCAACAGTTGCTCCATATTCCGGGCACATATTCGCTATGGTAGCACGGTCTGCTATGCTCAGAGCAGACACACCCGGACCGTAAAACTCCACAAACTTTCCCACAACACCCAACTGACGGAGATGCTGCGGGGAAAAAACCACATGATCATTTCACAACTGTATTATTAATCTTCACCAATTCCGACTTAGCATCTAAAAATCTCTTTTGCAGTGAACTAGTAATGAGAAACTTGCAAGAGCTTCAACATGACTGCCTATGTCTAACTAGTACACACCCAACTAGAGAAAAACCCAAACCAAACATTATTGGACAGGACCCCAATTATTATACACGCGATTTATGTCGCTCAACAACGTCGTACAATGTCGCGCGTTTTAAAAGGACAGTCGTTCGTTGTTTCTTATCGCGCGATTTCTGGACCAGGTTACGCCGCCAACAGATGTCGATAGGGAATGTCGTTGACATGAAATCAGTACAACTACCAGTCTGACATGTGGTCTAGACATCGCGCAATAAGAAATATACAATAGCTCTTTTAGGGCGTGGCAGTGCAACACAAATTACGTGCATAAATGAGCTCTAACGCTGCCGCACGACATAAGTCACGTACATAAATGTGCGGTCGAATAGTAAAAACAACATCATTTTGTAAATTTCTGACTTCAGCTAAGGAACTATTACTGCACAGCATTGAGAACTCTTCCATTAGAGTTGAGATCTTATCGAATAATCTGAGAAAGAAAGATACAGCATTCTGGGGTGCTAATTTGATACAGGTTAATCTTGGGGTTACAATGAAGCAACCAGCAGACATGTCAATCAAAACAATAATTACCTTAGTAATAGTAAGTACTAAGTCAGTACTGGTGGCATACTGGTCGAGTTCTCCATACAGCCTATAGCCCACCACTTGCGGCAACAACATGCTGATTGATTGGCCCAGCATCACTGCTTCAGCTTCGATTCCTCCTACTCCCCATCCGAGAACACCAAGGCCGTTGATCATCGTTGTGTGAGAGTCGGTACCTACCTACATAAACATAGAAATATATGCCACTTTTTGGTTCAATCTATGCTGGTGCGTTGGCGGTGTTATCAAATCTTAGAAAAGACTGTTACTCGAGCGCCCATAGCTGAGGCTGCTGAAGTAGAGATGACCGATATCGTTATTTTTGAATAATTGTTATATTTTATATCGTTACTTTTTGGTATCAGGGATTTTGAACCGTGACGTGATCACGACTTTCGGATAACGATCAGATTATGGGTACTGATATCCTAAAGAAAATACCGCGATGCAATTGCATTAAGCCAACTATCAAAGCCTATAAGGCACAATATCGCTTGCAAGCCTTAGTCGTCCTTCGATGGTATAGGATTCATCTCACGCATATTCAAACATTAACACCTTGATCCCATATGACAGTCTCCGTTCCCGTGAAGCACCTATAATTCCCAAAGTCGTGACTAAGTCACGCTTTTTCACCATATTTGGTAACAGACCTAATTCGTGATTTAGTAATATCAGTTACTACATCACTATGCTGAAGTGGACACTTACCTCATTTAGAATATCTTTCATGATAATCGAACCACTTCACGCGGAGTTATCGCGCTCAAAGTGACAATACCTTTTTAGCATCGGTCGAAAAATGGGCATCGAACAAAAAGCCACTTGGTAAAACACTTACCGAAACGCATCAGATATTTATGCAAGTGTATGGTGATGATTGTTCATCTCATAGCCGAGTCCATGAGTGGTTAACACGGTTCAAAGCCAGTCACTGGAAGTCGACGCAGATTTTGGCCAGCCAAAATGTGTGGTTACGCCAGATATCGTCGAAAAGGTGCGTGAATTTATCAAAAATGATTCAAATCTCCATTGAGATACATAGAAATGGAATTTAATATCTCTAAAGATTCAATTCACCACATTTTGACCAAGAATTTGGGCATGAGAAAGGTGTGTTCACGGTTTGTTCCACGGATGTCTAAAATTTGCTTCGAATTCAACATTCGAGAGCCATCATTAAAGAGGCCAAAAAAGACAAAAACTTTCTGTAGAACATTGTGACTGGTGACGAAACGTGGTGATTTCAATACGATCCCGAAACCAAGAGTTAAAGTGTCGAATAGTAACATCAAAGCGAGCCAAAAATCCGTTTGCAAAGGCCAAAGTGAAGACAATGCTGATTTGTTTCTACGATTCGAAGGGAATTATTCACAAAGAACTCGTTCCACCGAGCCAAACGGTTTTATCTTGATGTTGTGAGGCGTTTGCTGTCGCGTATTCGTCGTGTTCGGCCAGAATATCGCAGAAGAAGGAAGCTGGTGCTTGTTGCACGAAAATGCACCATCTCATCGATCGATGCTTGTGTCCAATTTTTTTACATAAAATGGCACGTTAGCCACCAACCACTCCCCATATTCTCCAGATATGGGACCGTGTGATTATTTTCTGTTCGGTTAACTACATTTGACCATAAAGGGGCAGCGGTATGCGGACGTAGAGGCCATCCAAAAGGCGTCGACGACCATTCGAAAATCTTTTGGTCCGTGCAAATCGCTTTATCAACTCTAAGGAGAATAAAATAAATTCGCATATATCTATTTGGCGATATTTTAAACTAGCCACACATTAAAATAATGTCCACAGTCCATACGCTGTTCAGATGCAACTTACCACTGTATCAGGGTAAAGAAGTGACGTGTCTTTGTCGACAAAGACAACTCTAGCTAAGTATTCCAAGTTGACCTGATGAACAATACCACTTCCTGGAGGGACAATCAACATGTTGTTGAATGCTTTTGCTCCCCACTGTAACGAAAAAGATTTTTAACAATTTAAGTTTATCCTAAGTCAATCGCCGTTACTTTCTTTATTCAGTACAAACGCCAAAATCTTAAATAAGTGACTACACATACTTCATATTTTACTTGTTAAGTACTTGATTCAATACTATATTTTCGCATACCTTCAAAAATAAAAATCTCTCCTTGTTCCGCTCGAATTCTAAGTCTTGATTCTTTTGTAAAGCATCAGGGCTGAAAACATCAATCATCGTGAACATACAAAATAGGGATAAACACGTATACTTGGGTGAATCAAACACATCGTTGATGAAGTACTTTTTTTATTATTTATATTCTTCCCCCTATATAAATTGTTTTAACTAACAGAGGAGGTCATAAATAAATATTGCCTTTATCAATTGAAATTAATTAATGAGCATACTAATAAAGGATTCATACATTGTGATTCAGAAAAACATACCAATATTTATAGGGAGTAAAGCAAAAAAAATAACACAAACAGTTCATATAAACATAGATTCTGGAATGCCCACTTACCAAGATACAGGATGTAGAGATTATAATCTCGAAATCGAAAAAAATATATAGGGTGTTACTTAATGATGGCCATAATTGCAAGTACGCATTCCTGAACCAAATTCAATTTTAAAGGTTTATGTGTCCTAAAGTTTAAATTCCAAGCTACAGGTTGTTATGCTTTAAATATCACATATTTATATGAACGTTTCTAGTTAAATTTGTTTTAGGAATGCGCCCTTTTAATTATGTAACACCCTGTGTGTTTGGTTAATGGAACATTTGAAACTTATTCTGTGGTTTTCATATTTATCTGACCAATCGAAACCACATGTGTTTGAAAATCTTCTTTATTGTAAAGATTTCATTCATGATTTTGACAATACATTTTATTTATTTATATTCTAGACAGTGGCGGATTTAAAGGGGGCGCACCATTGTGTTGCTTTCTGACACATCATGGCGCCAGAGGCATACTAACTATAAGTTATAGCTGTAGGAACTGAGCATTGCAATTTTCGGTATCCTTTGGTATTCCAAACGCTGTCCCTCTTCGACATCACTTACGTTTACAACACAATTCTTACGATTTTTACGTATATACGAGTATTGTGACTTGTGACAGTCTGAGCAATATATTAGCGATACAGATTGCACTTAAAAAGTGATTTTTGTTCTGTTTGTTGCTCAATAATAATTTGAAAAGTGTGTAAAGCTTGACTGATTTTGTTCAGGGTTGGTGTTGCAGCGAAGCACTATTAGTCTAATCATATTAGACGCAAATACCCCAGGCTTGCGAAATAATTCTAAGTATGGTTTTATCGCTGCAAGTTGATCAAGGGGGTATTCAAAACATGGACGCATGAAATGGGTACACCATTTTTTGTGGAAGAACCTTTTATTCGACAACAAAGAATGAGAAAATGTGTTTTTCGGTATTCAATCTAAATAATTGGCAGCGACAAAATAACTCTCCTTATAAGCTTTTTAAGTATTTTTGAGACCTACAAAATGAGACCACACGTAAACATATCCGACTAGTAGCAAAAAAGGTATCGCCGAAAACCGAGGAAAACTGCAGGTCTTGGCACGTGTTGGTAATGCGACGACGGTTTCTCGAAAATATTTGAAATTCTTCAAATTCGTAGGATTGATACTTCTAAATAACCACAACAAAATTGGAGTAGATTGGTCAAGCAGTTTGTGAGAATTTCTAATTGTTTATCCCAATACATCTGTTTTCCGGCGATCACTACTAGTTTTTTTGAGCAATATACGAGTACATGGGTTAGTTCAAAGGGCATTTTATAGCAAAATACACTAGTTTACCTTGCCGATATGAGTCGAAAACTATTCCGGAAGATAAATGTTATTTTTATACAAAAAAGTATGTGTTACGTTTTTCGTCTAAACAAATTCAATCATTTCGTATTTGTGAGTAACTCGCAACAAAAGATGATAGATACATCCGCTTTGTTTTAAAATGTGTATAGTAACCTATGTATTTCGAATATCGTAGCGCATTTGCTCAATTACGCAGAAATACGAAATATTTGAATTTGCTTTGAAGAAAAAAACGTAACATTTGTTTTTCGCATAAAAATATCATTTATCTTTCGGAATGGTTTGTAATTAGTAAATTAGTGTATTTTGCTGTAAAATGCTCTTTGACCTTATCCTGTATATAACTCGATAAACTAATAGTGATGTCCGGGACACAGGTGTTTTGGGATAAACAATTAGAAATTCTCACAAAACTAATTGACCATTATACTCCAATTTTACTGTTGTTATTCAGAAGTATGAATCCTTTGAACAATTTCAAGTAGTTGGGTAAAATTGTTTTTGTTTTTTGTTAGTGTTTCGGCCATAATTAGTCGGATCTTTTCACGTGTGGTCTCATTCTGTACGTCTCATAAATACCTAAAAATCTTACATAAAAAGTTTTTTCGTTCCTGTCAACACTTTCGATTGAATCCCAAAATACACGTTTTGTCATTCTTTGTCAAATAAAAAGTTTTGCCACAAAAATTGCGTCCATGTTTAAAATGAGCCCTTGAACAACTTGCACCAATAAAACCGGACTTTGGAATTATTTCCGGGAAGTTTGCTAATATGATTAGACTATATGTTAGATGAACGCCTACATTGGAAATATACATTTATTAGATCTGCTTAGCGGTGTGCCTGTAGCCTGTCCAGAAAATGCGTCGATCGATGCTCAAACTCAATACCACACGTCCCGCATTTCTTCCCGCGTATGCTTCTATTTATGTTGCTATATTGGAATTCGTTTAAGTCACAGAGCTTCTGCACTACACGTGAATATGTACAGCGCTGTAATCCTGTTCTTGTATCGTAGAAAAATAAATTATCAAAATAATCATGACCTAAAATATATAGTTTTTTCCAAAGATTTCCCACATTTTTACATGCGATCAATACCGATTCGAAAACTGAGAATGCCGTGAATCTAAGTTCGACAACAAAAGTCTGAAGAATAACTGTAACATCTATATTGAATTTCAAAAAATAATTGACTATACCTATTGATATTTGTATCACCTGCTGATATAATAGAAGTGCTTGATTATGTCAGTATTTACACCAATTACTTAATTTGTTTAACGGGTAGTTCAGCGTATTAATCCTTAAGCTTAGTACAGACTAGTAGACCCCGTTGCGCGATTTGTCTATAGGCAGTCTGGAGACGGTCTCAAGACACGATCTATAGATGGTCTAGAGGCATTCTTCTTTGTCTCGTCTAGCGTCCATACGATAATGTGAATTTTTCGGTCTCATGTTCGTTTTTGCCATCAAAGACATTGGTTTGTGTGGAATGGCTGGGATATGCCTCGGGGTCGCTCAAAATGTCTTTTTTGGTTAACAGAGCAATAAAGTTTTTTATGTTTCAATCTTTAATATTATTACACCAATTACTTATAAATGCCACGTAATTCTTTTGTTCTCATATAATAAAATATTGCCTTTCTGAGGATTTCTGAGCACTTTCCATATTTTTTGTTTCGAGTTGGCATTGAACAGATAGAACACAATGGATTTAAGGAGCAATAATAGGATAAATTCTAGAAGTTTCACTGAGGTAGACAAATTACCAGCCCCAGCAATCTCAGCATGGCACAGGACCTTTCACACTATTTTAATAGCACCGTGTGAAGGAATATGAAAATGAAAGAAAACACAAATGAAGTGTCACCTGGAAGATAAATAAAATATATTGTCAAAGTCACTGTACTGAAAAAGTTCAGCAGTGTGACCGAAACATTTACAATAAAGAAGATTTTTTCAACACATGTGGGTTCGATTGTCCAGAGAAATAGGATGGGGGATTACCTGTATGCTTGGATTGGATCATATTGAATTTTTGTACATGTAGTACTGACATCATAGTCAACAAATACAAAATCATTTTCATGGCTGACACTGCATCAGTAACGTAGAAATTGTAAATTTTTACCACAATAGTATAAGAAATAAGATTATTTTCTATGCTACTGATATTTTGAATAAGGTATTCAATTTTACATAAATCGCCTATCTCCTATCTTTTTGAGGTGGAATCCATATAAAAAACTTTAATCCATTCCTCTTTGAAAATATGGTGAATTGAAATGAAATTTGACATTTGAACTTGCATGTAACATACTACAAAATTACATCGCTCAGTATCTTTGTAATGGAACATTTTAACTTTTTTGGTTCTATTAGATATACTTTCTACGCAAAAATATGTGTTGCCTTTTAGGAACCTAATCTCTACACTACTTTCATGCAATTTTGATCATAACTTACGTTCCCGCGTAGTCGACCTGTATGGAGTGATCGATAACGAGGTCAGCAGGACAGATGGGATTGATCTTCTTTGGATCACCACTTAGGTCTTTCACGGCGTCCCTCATAGCGGCAAAATCCACAACAGCCGGCACTCCAGTCAAATCCTATCAATTGTGTTATTTTTAATTGGATCGTTGGACACGTCTATTCTAGATGACTGGGAGAAATCGAGTGTTCAAAATACGAATATCAGTTCAAGGACAAAACTTGTAAAGACAAAGATTTGTTTAATACTCTACATTATTTCAAGAAGAATGTTAGTATGGCTACTTTAAATTTACAGGGTGTTTGAAAAATAGACTAAGATATTTTCGAGGGTGATTCCTTGTGAAAAAATATCAAAAAGTGTCTATAAATATGGGTCCGGAAATGCAGAGTTTTCCAGATAGAGGGTGATAAATTAAAAAAAAAATGTATTAATATCTTGAAAAATATTTACTTGATTCTGATGAAATCTGGCAATATTATTTGTTGTATTAAGCAGCTGTATTTGTTTTCCAAGGCACTTGTGATTTTTTTTAGCAAAAATTAATAAACCAATTTTGCTCAGTGACATGCAATGAAACAGTTTTAAGTTTTTTCTCGATAACGTAGTGAGATACGAACAAAATACAAGAGGCATAGAAGTTGTATTTTTAGATGCTTAATCAAACAACAAATATTAAAGTTACAAAAAAAAGCAGTGGCGTACATTTTTATAATATAGGTGCCTCCGGGACGCCACTAGTTCTACTGATTTTAATCTATTTAGGGCTAAATTACCTCTTAAGACTACAAAATAATATTGCCAAATTTCAACATATATTAGAGTAAGTATTTTTAAAGATATTAATAAAAAAAGATTTTAAATCTTGAAAACTCTGCATTTCCGGACCCATGTTTATGAAAACTTTTTTCATACTATTTAACAAGGAATCACCCTCTAAAATATCTCCGCCTATTTTTCGAACAACCTGTATGAAAAGAGAGGAAGTGAAAGACTGATAATCCAGGTTCTTCAGTAGACCTCATCAACTTACATGAAGTTTGTCTTAGGATTCAAATGAGTTTGAAGGAGTGATAGGGGATTGGAAGAAGTTCCATTTTGAAGAATATTTCAATTGTTAGTACAAGTGATGTAGCTGCAGAATGGACTAATAATATAGTAATAAAACTTTTGCATTATCAGTTCACACTTCACAAACATATCATCTTAGCAGAAAATGAGATTGAAAACAACTAAAAATTAACTAATAAGCCAAATTATCACTTATCAGCTGGTTCCATTATAAAAAATTATATAATCTTTATTTATGTCCATTAAAACATAACTGGTACTGAACTGAGGGTCAACACTAAGTTATAATGAGCAACCTTATCATTCTTTGGCTGATAAGTCAAGATGGGTACCTGTAAAATGACCCTGGCTGGTTTGAATGGTATTTCAGTTCCTTGCTCCATTGTTTGAACTTGTTCCCATTTAAGGATGTTCTGCACATCTTTCTGTTCAATGTGGAACCCATCACAGTTTCTAACTGCTGATTCCAGTAATACTCTAATGGAATATGGTAGCTCATCTAGAAATATTTTTAATGTAAATAAATATCATTTTTAAAATAGCAATTGTTAGCATATACCTGAATAGATGTTGAGCACTATGCAAATACCCTACCTCTATCTGATCTGCCATTTGCATTGCTTAGAAAAAAATGTGAAACAAACAAGTCTTAGAAGTACAACTCTGTAATATGTTATTTGAAAAACAAACATTGGGTCGGATGAATAAACCGAATAAATGCTTTTACAGAAGGAAAATCAAGCAAATGCTCACTCCAAGGTGAGTAAATACTCATGTCTCAAGTGAAGAAAAAGTAAGACCTAATTCTCATAGTAAATACTCGCCCTTTATTAACGTTTATGCACCAAAAATTGAGCGACACTTACATGCAAAAGAAAGAGTGTAATCCCACAATTTTTGAATGCGACAGTTTTTGTAGGTGTTTCTTTTTAACATCTGGTAATATCAATAATTACTGCACCGAACTTAACAACATTTTTATTATGAGGGATCATAGTGAAAATGCCGCAATGCTTTTCAAAAACTGGCATTATCTCTTTATAAGAGACATACTACATGCCTTAAGCACGCAATGTGGGTAAAGCCTTAGTTGTCTTCCCATAAATAGAAGTGTGTTTGATATTCATATTCACCCTGATTTAAAGAAAGTAGAAAGTAAAGCTGAAGTGTGTACTTCTTTATTCAACTGAGATATTGTGGATCCTTTGTTTCCATCAAATTAATGTCCCTAAATATTCATGCCTTGGATGATATCCAAGGTGTTAACACTCAACATAGGCTGACAACAATATGTCAAGTCATTGCACTTATAAAGCAATAAAAAAGCTTTGTATTGCTTCACCATAAAGCTATATACGTTCCAAATTTTTATGAGACTACATTACTCATTATAATATTATTGAAAAACAAATAAGGGCTGCTATTCCTGAATGTGCTCTTTGAGCTGATGACTTTCCAAATGATCACCTTAGGATGAAACCACATTTTATTTTCACCTATTATGATACCACAAAAATGATAAGGTGCAAATGACGTATGTCTTTGTTAAATAATACAAAACATTGACTGTGTTCGGTCAATATAAAGCAGACCAGGGCTGCATTCATAAATTGTTACAAAGTAGTATAGAGTACAATAATAATTTCAGCATTCATAATTGTTTGATGTACCTGCTCCATGTGTTTGTACATAGAACAAAATAATTCTAACATCAAAAGTTCACTTTTCATCCTGTGCTCAAAACTTTGGGAATAAGAGAGTTATAATTTGTCATTCTCAAGATTTATTGCTTGGTTACTTTATTTGGTTATCAAAAAGCTGTCAAAACTGGCAGTCTATATTTTTTACGTTAAAGGGCTACCTTGTATACATAGCATTTCTTATAATAAAAAAATACAAAGTTGCAGAAGATGTGGTTAGAAATTAGTGTGCTGCCTTCATTACATGACTCTGTAATGGTTTAGGCATTCTAAAAATAAGCAAATTTCATCTGTCAATCTACATTTCATTACTGTATGTAGGTACTACAATTACCAAGAGATTTACAAACACACCTCAGCAGTGCAGAGCTTTTATGCTGAACAGCCATAGCTGTAAAATACATTTGACAGTTTGCATCATTGAATCAACAAACTATTAAATCTAACAGGCAAGTCAAAACTGTTGTCAAACTGGAAAATGTATCTTATGGCTATTGTTATTCAGCATAAAAGTGCTGCACTATTGGACCACCCTATGTTACCTGAACTCAATGAATTCAGACTAGGTAGAAGGAACCAGTCAAGGATTTGTTTATCTGTAGTGAGAGTGAGAATCAGAGTGCACTTTACATAAGTCTATTTTTTAAAAGTTCTGCCATTAAGTTTGTATATTTAGCAATATTTTTTTAAACAGTGAGCATTTGCAGATAATTGTGGTGTTAGGCGATTTCAAAACATTGTACTTTTTACATAATTTGCAAAGAGCAGCACAAGCCTAATGAAGGTAGGTATTAGGGATTAAATGTGGTACGAGAAACTATGAAATTCACCATATATGTTGTTTTGGCAGGTGGCACATTTAAGAATCTGCAGTGCTGGATCACTTTATGTTATATCCCTTTAACATCTAATTTGATTAGTCAGTATCCAATTTTGTCATCCAATGGACTCTACATAATAAAGCACTATAGCACTTTAGATCTATGAATGCATACAATGTATAAGTGCACCACCTGTTGCTATTTAATTTATACCACTTCAAGTAATTGAGTATAAATGTATCCAAATATACTTACCATAGCAATTTCCTGCAAGCGCCACAATATCATAGTACTTATACTGTTTACTATCTACAGTCAAGGTCTTCAGATATTTATTATACAGGTTACTTTCTGAAATGTGAAAAAATGGTGCAGCTAATAAATGGAATGCAAATAAATTACCATATCAATCAATGAAATTTGATTTTTACTCACCACCAGCCATTCTCGTGAGGAACCGAGTCACGTATGCCTTGGGAACAACAGTAAAGTGATATGCGTTGGTATCAATTTAATGAAATTTTAAAGCCCGGTTAGGTTGTATCAAAAAATGATAACATAAAAATTTTGTGCGACCTGTGTGCGACAGAATTGATATGCGGCTTAGCTTTGCGGATTTTCCTTTCCCTCAAATAATCTACAAGAGAAACACTGTCACTATCATATAGATAATACAACTGCAAGTAAACACAATCTAGAATAACACTTTGATCACTGACTTTGCCTCAATATGATATTTATTTTCTTAGAAGATTTATAAGGAGCGGTACACAGATTTTTATTAAAGTGTAAAAATGGAAAAATAAATATTAAAGACTAACCTGACATCTACGTAGGAAGTAGGAACTACTTAGTCAAGAGTGACGTATATACTGTAGAGGTGAGGAAACGCTGAATCGTCAATGGTCGAGTGGACTGACTACATTTCCGCTGGGTTGAAGATATCTAACTAAGCATAAAAATAAATAAAGTATCTCCCCTAAAAAAATAATTGAGACTATTGTACTGTAATGGATGTGATAATAGTGAGCTCAGACATCGCAACTAGAAAAACATCAGTGACTAAACAAAAAATGAAGATGCACGAAAGGCTTTAATCGGTCGGTACAAAACCGTCAACGAAAATATTTACGATTCTTGATCGTTCCCCGTTCGTCAAAAAGTAGACGGGATTTTCTGTATAATATTTCAAAATATAAAAGCATTAGTAGCCGTGGTTTGCCGACCCCGAGTGTACCTCTACTCCACATGTTAGTCCACTAATCTGTCGAACCTTCCTGATCTTTTAATAAAGGTCAGGATGTCCGTACATTCTACTGACTTCACCGTCAAACTCCATGGCTACGAATATAGTATAAGGGGCAATAATAGGCCAGTAAGTGGAACGCTGTCTCGTCCACCTCTCAGCACATGGGACAGGTTGATGTCTGCTCCTCACCCTTAAAAGGGATAAGTGTCTATGAGAACCCCCCACCAAACAGTTGAGTGATTCTCTAACACTAGTCCAGTAGCCAGAGCGTCTGACGTTTGTCGGGGCCCGCAGCGAACCTCTTGGCCTGTCTGCAGTCATTTTTCTCTCGCCACGCTTTTCTCAGGTCTCTACATACGTATTCGTTCAGGGCATTGTTGACCTGGCTCCTACTTATGCCCAGACTAGGCTCAGGACCGATGCAGGTGCATCTGATTCCCAACCTAGCCAGGCTATCAGCTTACTCGTTGGCCGGCGATCCGCTGCGTTCGACTACTCAAAGCAGGGTAATTTCTTTACGTCGGGTTAAAATCGGCAGGACATCAGTACATTCCTCAACTAAGGATGATCTTCTCTTCGGAGATACCACTGCTTACGATATTCTACGCTCAATTCCAGGGCTGCCTGACTGCCGGAACGTATGAATATGATCCGCTCGGTGCACTGCCAAATCTCCGAGTATGCAACAATAAAGATGGCAAATATCTCTGCCTGGAAGATTATTTGTGCAGGTGCAAGCGCGAAGATTTCCTGCATGTATCCGTCAGTGAAGCACACGAGACCCTGAGACGGGATTGTTATTTTTCCATTCAGCTATCCTTCGAAGAGATGATGAGTGAGAATTCTGAATATCATCTTATGGCGCTCTTCGCCCTTTCCACTTTAACCGAAGGTTTGGGGAGCTTGCTCTTCATCACGTCCACGATCTTGGAATGACAAGTCACCGGTTCTCGTATCGCCCACGTGCCCTCACCGTTAGGTATGCCGCCTAAAGAGATTGTCCGCGTCGCGCCTTTTACTACTTACTCCACAATCCATCTACTGGTAACTATTTATTGAATAAACTATCTCCAGCGATGATATGTACCTTTTGTTAACATTGCACCAACGTGGGTGGTATAAATAGCACACACCACAACATTCTTGGTACGGAATCAACTTCCGAGACGGAGATTTGAACCCGCAATCCCCGCGTTGCTGGCTCGACCAGCTGGCCACCGAGCCATCGAGGCTTGCTGTTAACTGAAGTCTTTTCGATACATGACCAGTAGACTATACGCATCCATACCATATCCTAACTTTTACGAACGTCGTGTAAAGTCAATGTCTACTACCCGCGCTTTCGCGAAGAAGGCAGATTCAGTCAGTGTCCCAAGGAGGCCGGCGTCCATTATAAGATACCATAGATGAGGGGAAAGGCTCTCCTCGGTGTCGAGTTGGACATCCCTCAAGGCTGCACTGTCCTTGCGGGTTCTAAGTGCCGACCTCGCCCAACAGAAGATGGAGGACGGAGGACGGAGCTTCTCTCTTCTGAAGTACGCTGCAAATAATTGACTTGCGGGCTTTATCAAGGTCACCCTGCACGACAAAGAATACTCCTAGAACGTCCCTGATTGTAGGCGTCCTTATTAGCATGGATAGGATGATCTATGAAGCCATTCCTTCGACGTCTGTCTGTCTACAATCTGTTCCATTTCCTTCATCAGAGAGGATGTAAGACTGATTGGTCTGAGGGATTTTGCTAGAGAGAAGTCGCTTTTTCCAGGCTTCGGTATAAAGACTAACGCTATGGAAGGCCCTCATTACCGCTGTCAGGTATGGCAGCAGCACCAACAGCCCCCTATTAAGAGCGCGGGGAAGTTGCCGTCTGATCCGGTGGACTTGTATGGACCGTAACTATTAGATCCTAGGAGGTTTTACAGAATCTACTTTATGTCTTCGACGCCTTTACCGCAACCAACATTACGTTACGAAGCATATGTTTTGTAAACGCTAGAGCTAGTGACAATGGCAGACCGCAACCAACATTACAGTTCCGTGCGTATTTTAGTGACTAGCAGAAATTAGCTTACTTTCAGAAAATAATATAAAAAATACCATATTTTAATATTATTACGATTTTATAATTCAAGTTAAATTACACCATTCTAAAACAGCTATAAGAGAAATGAACATTAAAATGAAATTTGTTCAAAGCATTTATTATACAATATTGTCAGAATAAAGACTTACGTATAAATAATAGTGGCAAGATATATTTTATTTGAAAAAAGTTCTAGTCACTAGAACACTCTGAATTGCTATCACTATCTTCGCCATTCACATATATAATAATTGGTAAAATGTCAGCTTGGTCAAGATATTTTTCTCTTTTCCACCATCTCTAAATTTCGATTTCAGTATGTGATATACATTTTGACCAAATTTCGGCTGTAACAGTTTGTAAGGCTTCTCGCCATAAATTGATACAGCGCTCTACAACTCTGCCATTACGACCCGCAGGTTTGTTGTAGTAGGACTTTGTTATGCCCCAAACATTTTCAATAGGGTGAAAAATGCAATCATAGGGCGGTAATCGTAATACTTTATATATTTTTATTTATATACTGTTCGGCTAATGCATCAACAACATATCTTACTCGTATAGGCGGTTTGTATACCTGTATAATCTGAAGTAGTTGTGCTTGAAAATTTGTGAAATCCAGTAAAAAGTTGTTTTTCAAATTCTGATCATCCTCATCATCGTCACTATTGTGTAACTCCAAACACGACAAAAGGTGCCTAATTCGAAAATGTGTCGAAAAATCGGGAAACTGCTGTTGCAATACGTTATCTAGAAACGCCACAATACTGTTTGATCAGGCTAACTTGCCAAAAGTGAACCCTGCTACACAAGAAAGAAAAGAATTGTAGAATTCAGTATGAATAGGCTTTCAAAATTAGAACTAATAGAAAGGTCTGATTTGCTGCAAAGGTTAATTGTTTATTGCAAAACATCGTTTATTTGGGGTGAGGGTGAGTTTTTAGTATGTAATTCGTTAGCATATTCATCAATATAAAAGATAATCAAGAAAGTTATTTGCAAAAATTCTGGATATGTATACGCTTGCAACTTGGAAAATATACCGCCCTCTACAGGGTGATTCAAAACGACATAACATATATATATATATACATACACATATATATATATATATATATATATATATATATATATACAGGGTGACTTCGAAGTTGAGTCATTTATTTTAACAGTGAGTAGATCTGATCAAAAGAAATGTTTTTTTCCTTAGTCCTAATTTCAGGTACAGTTATAGACACTCCCGAGCTCGATAAATGAGATATAATGAATATTGATGATAATGATAGGCACCTGTTTCAAAAAATATTCTGCCTGAATAGCTGGTTGAATGTTAATGGGTAAAGATAGAGGATGAATAGAAACAATAGAAACATGTTAAGAATGATTGAAGTCCCGATTTATAGTATGCTGCAGTACATGAAAACAGCAATCAAGCAAACATCAAAATTTTTACAGGGCCATTGGAGAGTATGACATCAAGAAGGTTGGTTTTGAACTTCTCGAACCACTGAAGTATAGATAGGTCGATGATCTTGGAATCGTTTCCAAGAGATATATGTTCAAAACTATACTCAAAGGTTTGCTGTTATTCTTGAAATACAGATCCAACTTGATGTTCCAAAATAAGCAGAGGTATTATTTAAATGCGAGTACTAATGTGAGCTCTCTTTGTAGATAAACCTTTGTTTATAAAAATATGTGGGAAACTAACATGCTGAGGCCAAAAGTTATACTTCTCCAAGTTCTTGAAGATGATTACAGGCTGGTACATGCATAATGAACATCAATTGAATTGCGAATTGAAATAATGAAGAGGTATTTATTTTCATAATCTTAAACCCATTTATTGTTTATGTTTCACTGACGTCTTACCCGATAAGTCAAAAGCTAACCAGGAAATATAACTGCTGAAACCTATTGGAAAAAGCAGCAGCGCCATAGAAGAAAGTTTTCTTCAAATTTTATTTTTCTAATAACTTATCAGAAAGATGTCAGTGACCTTCGAGGGATGTTTTTAAAGTAAGAACCAATCACGCATCCAGAAGACCGTTCTATCTCGGTCCCTCTTGGCCAGGCTCCACTACGCTGCTATAAAAAACTCATGATCAATTAGTTTGGTTGAAGAATATCAATTAGGTCTTTCCTTCGAGTATATTCAACAATCTGTGGGTCACAGAAGAACTAGAAATACCATTATTGTTAAATTTATTAAGGCTGATTCCTTTAAATTCCTTTTGTAATTGATATCATCATCACGCTCTATCGAGACTTCATTCCATTTTATCCTGTCCTGTTTCCCATAGGTGTTCGCTCAGTGCTAATTTTGAGGTTGCAACATTTTAGCCGAAGATTCCATAACAACATAACCAGTTTGTTACGACCACAGTGCTGGGTTGGTTTTTGCGATCTTTTGGAGGGCTTTTGGCGATTTAATAAAAAAGACAAAAAATCATCCTCGCTTGTCGTTTTGTAGAGCTGGACATCCCTTTTGGGAAAGGAAATGCCTACCCCCACGCGGTCCTGGGCTATGCTGGATTTGCATGGTGCCATCTTTAAATTTGGAATGATCGTTTCATGCAATCTCAGCATGTTACAGGACCCTTCACACTAATGTAGTAACACACTGTATAGGAATATGAAAATGAGAAGAAAAAACGAACAAAGTGTCACCTGGAAGATAGATAAATAAAACATATTTTCAAAGTCATTGTACTGAAGAATGTCACAGTTGTCACGTGAACGTTTACAATAAAGAATTATTAGAGACATATGGGGGATAAGTTTTAGATGCTACACTAACCAAAAACTTGTGCCACGACTTGACTTGTATTTGAATGTTTATGGTGACTTTAAAAAAAATTTAAAACGTTCATATTTTAGTTTGTGATACAATTCACATTCATAAATAAAAATTTTCTGACTCGATTACAAAACGATTCTTACTTAAAAAATGACCCTCGTATAAACCGTTACTTCAATGCTTCTTTTTTTAGGACAATAACTGTGGCATGCTGGCGGGTTATAGATTTTCGATTGTACAAATGAACCCAGAATTGTGGAACGACTTAATTTTTCTTCAACTGATTCAATTAATCTGAGCAGTGACGGTTGAGGTTTTCTAGGGGTTTCCCTCGCCCAAGTACGAATGCACGAAAAAACCATATTCCCCTAATGAATAGTAGAGAAAATGAAAACCATAGATATCCTATTAATGATATATAATTTTAGATCACATAGATATTAAATATATTTATATAGTAAAACTTTGTTTTTTTTCACAAAAGAAATAGGCAAAAAAATATTTTATCCTATTAAAGCCCTGTTCGTACAGGTGTCGTCACCTGTCAGTGACCGTATCCAGGATCCCGCCACCTATTCCGCTCATTCTGCTACGCTGTATAGAGTAAATTCACATGGCTAGTCAGATCACCTACAGGTCGCCGACCACCAGCGTTGCCAACCCCAACTGTAGAATATTATTTAAAAAACTGTAAATATACAGCCTTCCATTTACAGTATTTTATCGCGGACCAAGGTCAACAAGTGACAGTTTTACATTGCTTAACACGTCAAGCGAAAAGCAAAATGTTAGAAAAATGCCCATCAGGCCAAAGTGCCAGTCATGTTTCCAACAAATAATGTGTCTAGTCTAAAGTCTACGTCAAAAGCTGACACAAGACGGGAACGACATGTACTAAAAAAAGCAAAATCGCATGCAATAAAAAAATAAGTGGTGAAATAGCAAAAAATAAAATTGCAAAAGTTACTACATATTGTGACACTTGTAAAGGAAAGACCCACTTTTGCCATGACTGTTTCGGAACAAGTCAGAAATAAATCAAATTATCTTATATTTTGTATCCCAATATCATAACTTATTTTATATATATGCAATTAAAAAAAATTGAATAACTATTTAAAACAAAAATACACGAAAAAGTTGGCATTTGCGTATAATCCATACAAGCCACAGCGGTCAATATCTAACGCTGAAATGAATTAATATGGATCTCTGGCTGGAGTCACCGTGGAAAGAAATTAAATACAAAGCGGTCCATACGGACCGCCGTGGCATGATAGGCCCGTTGTCAAGCGGTCCCATATGGGACCGCCATGGCGTTTGATGTGTTAAGCAAAATTCTTTGTGAGCGGTTGAGGTTCTTGTTGGCCTCGAGTCACATAAAAATGACAGAATTTTCATTCAAATTTTTCCAAATTCACTCAAGGCCAACCACAACCGCTCAAAAAGAATTTGCTTTTTGCATTCATGATCAGCTGTCCTTTTTTGACATTGTTCCGCGACAGGTACTCGCGAAAAATATTATATTACTTACAAATAGCACAATTCTGACTTAAATCAAGTTCTTTTCGCAGCGGTTCTGATTCTGGTTGACATCGTGTGCTATGCGCTGTACACTGTACCGGTGCCACAAAAACACAGTTCTACAGGCGCTTAATTCAATTTCAATAGCTGTAGCATTTTTTTACAAAACTAGAAGGTACAATACAACAGATTTTATAATCTGCCGTTCCATTTGTATATTTGAGGGCCATTATTTTTTCATTTGTTTGTTTCATTCAATTTATTAACACGTTTGGTATTATACCAATTTCTCTACGTGCGTCAAATTCAAGACGAAATGGAAGCCGCATTACTGTTTACATTCGTCTAGGTAGCTTCTTCTGTCTGTGGTGCCCCTTTACCTTTGGGGCCTCTTCTTATCTATGATTGTGTCACCATGTATGACATACTCTTTAGCACTATATTAAGCCCAGCGCCTTAATTATGGAATTGATGAAAGCACAAAGAGCTTTATACCAACATAGAGGTGTGATAAAGGAAAGTAACATTTTTTCAGAATATAAAATTTATTGGTAGATGATAGTTTTATACAAATATATTACAGCTTCACTATTTACAAAGCAGTTATTCCAACCACGTAATACATATCCCAATATAAAGAGAACATAGATCTCTGGATATGTTTAATATACTTATATGAATGAACTTAAGCTACTTGGTAATTATACCCTATTCCACGAGTATCCATCACGGTAGAATGGCAGCTGATTATCTAGTAATATCTCAAAATTCCCAATATTGGCTCAGGACATAATTCTGACGGATCCGTCAACCTCGGGTAGACAGAGCCGTATTTTGTTTTGGTTTTTTGTACGCTACAGATTCATTTTGTACTTGCTAACAGCCCTTTTATTTAGAAAAGTTCATTTGCATACAAAAAACAAAACGCTACAAACTAGTTTTACTAGATTTACACCCGATTCATTATTGTCAACGTCGAAGACGTAACACAAAAATGTCACTTGCTTTTCAGTTGTTCACCTCGGTAGACGTCAAAGCGTGATGGTTACTCTTGAAATAGGGTATAAGTTCTCATGTAGAAGGATTAGATTATTGATAATGCATGTGAATGCAATCGAATGTTTTAAATGAATTTATTTTGTATGATCTATATTAGTTTGTATTGTTACTGATATTATTCAGATATATTTCCACAATATTGTCATTTTTAAGAGTCGGAAAATAAACCTCTTCCTTACCATCTCTGCAAACGTTTTTTTTTTAGCTCGACTATATCCCAAAGCTGAATTTTGTTTGTTCGAGTCCTCTTTATCTGTAATATGGACTAATTTACTTGAACGGGTGTTGAACCAGGTATGTTCTATTATTTAGCAAAGTTATAAAACAAGTGAGATATTTATTTATGTATGTCAGAACCCTACTTATCCTCAGCAGTTGAAAATCACTAATTAATACTTTCCAATCATTTAATAAGGTGCTCATAGGCTCAATCCTTAACAGACGAGAGAAACTGCTACCCAATCCATTAGACCTAATGCATAAATGAAGTTCAGATGCGCCTTAAATGACATCGAGAACTTCAAAAACTGGCTGTAGGGCCGAATCGAGCCTCTAGAATCACTGCGGTTTGACTAAACACGTATCTAGAAACTTTATAGTGCTGCCCAAATAAAATTCCCAAACATTTCCACCATCAAATAGGCCTGTAAATACTGGTTAATAGTCCATTAATACTTTGTAACTGCTATAAATGGTAGTCAACTGTCACAAGATAACAACTATACAAAAATGATCTCGATAAAATATGATACATCATTTCTAATAAATATCTAGAAGAATAGATGAATACTCTATGCTAAATTGAGCAAAAACATCTCAACAACCTTGTATAATATATTTCAATGCTGAACAATGACAAAATACAAAAACAAGATAACTCATTCTGCATACATCATAATGTAATCCTAATATATACTGAACTTTTGAAGAAACTCATTTCTTCTATCACAGTTTCTATCATTTATTATGATACCCTATTGGTAGTCCATTTACACCCCGGCACAACAAAGATGCAGCGCGGCAAAGCTTCCTTCAGCCGTGCTTCCTCTTCAGTGACGTCTCCTCCCCGAAAAAGTGACAAAAAGGGACATTGAATATTCAGGCAAAAGAAATTGTCCTTAAATTTTATAAGAGAGAAATTTTAGGGCATCCTAAAATGAAAATTCATGATATTGAAAGACGTGTGGCGAACAAGGCAGGCTTAAGTCCTAAGATAATTTTCAGCATTGTCAAGGAATATAACAAAAAAAATGTCTCCACCACACAAGAGGATGCATTGCACGAATCTGTTCGGTACAATTGATAACTTTGATCGGAATGCCATCAGACGCAAAGTCCATCAATTTGTTGAAAGGCAGGAACTGCCCACCATAGACAACGGATTACAGGAGGTAAATAGTGATGGAAAGGAGTACATTCTATAGTTTACTCAAAGAACTTTATTTTGAGTATAGAAAACGGGGCAGAAATATTATTTTGATGGACAGCCAAGAGATTCGTTTATGGAGAAGAAATTATTTAAAATCAATAAAGAAATACCGCGACCAGGGCAGGAAGATTTATTGCTGGGATGAAACCTGGATAAATGCAGGAGAAAATAAATATGATTTGTTACCTGTCACATTGGTAGTGAAGATGGTGTTGTGCAAACTGCCCTATGGGCATTTGAGTGAAAGAAAACGACCGACTACCATGAAGAAATGGAAGGGAGTTCATTTGAACGATGGTTTGAAGAAACGTTCCCAAAGCTTGACGAAAATGCCGTCATTGTACTTGATAATGCTGCATACTACACTAGACAACTAGAAAAAAATCCCACAATGTCCACAAGAAAGGCACAAACTCAACAATGGCTCATATCAAAGGACATTGGTTTCAATGAAAATATGGCCAAAGCAGAACTTATCCATCTAGCCAAGCAGCACAAATATAAATATAATCGTAATGTTATTGACGAAATGGCTAAAAACCAAAATAAGACCATTTTAAGGCTTACCCCTTATAACTCCGAATCAAATCCCATTGAAATGATTTGAGAAAATATAAAAAACTATGTGGCTTCAAACAACAGAACATTCCAATTTTCTGACGTGAAAAATTTGATTCATGAAGCTGTCAACAGAGTGACGGCAAACCATTTGAAAGATTGCATCAGTCACGTTCAAGAGACAATCGAGACAAAGATGTGGGAATAAGCGAATAAAGAATTGTGAAAAATATGTGCACTTCTTACTAAAAAAATAATCATTTATTTTTAGATTATTCCAAGACAATTGAGGAAATTACGGACCTGTACAATCTAGCTTTTGAGCATGTTGTGTTTTTGCTGGGCGTAAATGGACTACGAATGGGGTATAGTAGAAGATCCGAATGAGAAACGACCTTCACTTATCTGTTGGATGAAAATTATTTTATATCAAATTTAGTATGTTAAAAAATATATCGGGAGTGGGTCGGCTAAAACACCCTTCGCGAGACTGTTATTAATTAAAAATTGAAAAATCACCTCATTTCATCCAGGCTTTTTGCAAACAGCCCTATATCATCGTGTTTGCAATGAAAGGGTGTTTAATATTTTGATAAAAGATTTATTTATTAAACAAATCGGTGCAAATAACTACCTGTGTTTATACACTTACCTGTTTATACCTGTCAACCCAGTAGCTACGCCAGGGAAAAATAAACAACTCAATGTTCGCATATATTCTACAGGCTTCCTTCTTTTGGTCGTTAAACTCATTAGTGCTATGTTCAATAAATAGTAATTTTTCAATTTTAAATTAACCATAGTCTCGCCAGGAACTAATCCACTCTCGATATATTTTTTAACTCACTAAATTTAATATAAAATACTTCATCCATTAAATAGATGGGTGTGGGTCGCTTCTAATTCTGATGTTAGACTATATGAACATAGTGCAACGTATTTTCTATTCCAGTACTAGTTGTGTAAAAGTTAATATTTTATTGTAGTATTGCAAACTCATCCAAAATAAATATGATTAAAATTAAAGTAACTTTAATGTTAGTATGTTTCTCCAAATTTGAAGAAATATGAACCAAAATATGGGTATTTTGGTACTTTGGATATACAGGGTGACTTCGAAGTTGAGTCATTTATTTTAACAGTGAGTAGATCTGATCAAAAGAAATGTTTTTTCCTTTACGATTTTTCTGGTAAAATTAAAGTAACAAAGTTATAACCCTTTGGAAGTTTGAGTACCGCCCTGTCTGAATAATAATATTATGTGCTCGTGTTTGGCGACAACGGATATAATCCGCCTTATCGGTTCATCGGATCGGAAAAAAAAGCGAAAGAATTTGGAACGATGTTTTTACAATTATTTGTATACAGTCAGTGTCAGTCGGTAACGCGTGAGTGAATAGTGGTGTCTGTTGCGTGGCTCAAACGAAATCAAAAATGGCACATGTTTACGAAAATGCTGAACTTGTGGACATGCGGCATCACGGATTTATGCGGATCGGTTTCCCAATCGAGTGCAACCAACCCCTCGTGCCTTTGTTAATGTAGTACAAAGGGCTCGTGAATCAGGTGACTTAAGACCTCACAGAGGACGGCATGCCGGTGCTCCAAGACCGCAAGATCAAATACAGGTCCGCACTGAAATACTTGTCGGGAGGATACTTTAGAAAACAAGGTAACATTTTTTTTTAATTTTTTTTTATTCTTACACACATATTTTGGTTTATCTTCCTTCTACAATCATTATCTGAAAATTAATGACTCAACTTCAAAGTCACCCTGTATTTCTGTAATATGATGAATATAACGTTACATTCTGTATTCAACTATATATTATGGTTAAACTATACAACTTACAGTATTAATATGAGGTTAATAGGCTGTGTTAGGCGGGGCATCCCAAAACTAACATAATTATGTACAGAATTAATGGTGTACCTAACTAATAACGTAACTCAATAGTTTGAAAGGATTTTGGGCAACCTTCATTTCGCATTCTCTTGAATTAAATGACTACTGCAAGCGGGCCCGTAATTTTTATCGACCTGCCTAAGCTTTTTTGTACCCTCTAATCTAACTCTTTTTTGCAATGGGCTGATATGAGTTAACTCCAATATGTAGAGGCAAGAGATCGAACTCTACCATTAGAGAATATGAGTCTTTGAGGATCATGTCACAAGGACTGAAATGTAAGGAAGGATATGATTAATGGACGTTTGTAAAAAATGTACTTGCTCATGGTGATACGATCAAGAATCAGTATACACTACATCAATCATGATCGTTAATCATAACCTTATTTTTCAAATGCATTATGGCAAAGCGTTCATACTCGAACATACTGGAATGAATGCGATTTCTAGCCTCTACAATCAACATTTTGCGGCTTCGCATATTGAGCCGTTGTGAAAAGGACCATCGTATTTGCAAGCTAATGATAACTTTGGCACCTGACAAGACAAATTTCCTGGACAATCTAAGGTATCGCACAGATGAGCGATTCTCGTCTAGTCCTCCCATTCATCGTCATCAGTATCGGAACGCGCGTCGCTGTCATCGTCATCGTCCTCAGAGTGTATCGCTTTACTGCGCTCTGCTAAGGCTCTAGCAAGAGCAAAAGCGAGATTATCGCCGAGGCTTGGTTTGTTTGGTGTACCGCCGGAGTTATGGAACGAGGAATTGATGCTGTCAGAGCCTGAAGGGGACTTTGCCTCTCTCTCGACTGGTTTCAGTTTGCAGCCTCGTCGGATCTCGTCGAGGAGCATCCCTCGAGCGTCATCAGGTTGCTTGGGGGAGGGACGATTATCGTCCCTTTCGGCAGCCGGCTAAGAAAATAAAACGTGTTTCTCAAAAAAATAATTGTAAGTTTATATAACGGTTCCGATTTAGTTTTGCCCTTTCACCTATATACGAGGTCGGTAAATTAAGTGATGTGACTGGCAACGTATCGTTTGATCTGGCAACCATGGTGAAACAGTTTTTTATATTGTGTTCTAAAAATGAATGACATCAATTTCGAGCAACAGTGTGCTATCAGGTTATTCGGTGGTTTAAGGCATTTTCAGAAGGGAGAGATCGATTGAAGATGAACCACGGAGCGGAAGCCCTTCATCTTCGAGAACCGAGTAAAATATCGACAGAATCCGGGATCTTGTGCGTTCGGATCGTCAATTGAAAGTCAGAATTATCGAGGAAGAATTAAATTTGACTCACACCATCGTTCATCAGATCAAGAACAACGGGGTGTTTCATCATGATAATGCTCCTTGTCACACAGCAATGTCAATAAACGAGTTTTTGACCAGTAAATACATTCCTGTGGCTACTCAGCCTTCTTATGCTCCTAACTTGAACCACTGTGACTTTTTTCTCTTCTTGAAGTTGAAAAATCACCTCAAGCGAACTAATTTTGGGACAGTCGAAAACATTCAAATGGCTGTAACCGACCAGCTGAAGGCTATACCAGTATCGGAGGTTCAGCACTGCTATGAGGAGTATCATCACTTAATTTACAGACCTCGTATAGCCCACACCTTCAATCTTGTGATGGTTGCTTGTCAGAAAGCAACAAAAATAAACTATTGTCACGCACTAACTGATAAAACTCATTTGATAATGTTCTCTCCAGAATTTGGAAGAAAAATAGTCGCTCTAGTGTTTCCTTTCGAAATATATGAGGTTAGTGGGAAATTTTGCAGCTTCACTGCAGATTTGAGTAATGCCAAGGATCGTTTTCAACTGATTTGACATCATGAAAAATTTATAGTTCGTTTGTTGAAGATTTCTTTAGCATTAATGCAATGTAATACAATTTTGTCTATTAAAATTATATCACTATGCATTTCGAGTATTAATAAAGTGTTTTTTTAATTTCACCTTACACATTTTTAAATTCGAACACTGTTCAATATCATTATTCAATTATTACTTCCCTCTGAAACTGCAGATTTGCTAGTAATGCTACAATTACAATTTTGGAGATGAACCCCTATACCGCCTCTGGTTTCGAAGTTAGGATAATGACTATTTAATTTTATTATCGACGGAAGATTGCTATTCTACGGATTTATCAAACAATTATTAATTTGATGCAAAAATATCCAGTAGACAATCCTCATCACTTTGTTCACCACTTAATAATAAATGGCTTTATTCGAAGAGACAATGCATATAAAAATAGTGTTCAGCAAAAAGGAATAATTGCTCTCGAATCTCAAGGGGGAGTTCACGACCTGCGTGCTCTTCCACTCATCCCTTGCTCTATTTTAAAATAGTGATAACAACTGTTACATGACTACTACTAACTATAGGAGAGCAGAAAAAAAGCATGAGTACAAAAAACAAGTAACACTGAAAATATAAAACTGAAAATATTCCATCATATAATCATGAGATTCATCCAAAAAAGCTAAATGTTACAGTATTATCAGTGAAATAAATTATACTTATCTAAAAGGAATCGTCTCAGAGCTACCTTGAATTTGCAACCTTTCATATTTTTGATTTGCTGGGGGATGGAGTTGTATAATTTATAGATGTTGTAAGAGAAGCCACGTTCGAAAAAACAATGTTCGATGGAATGGAACAGAAATATTCTGTTTCGAACGAACATTGACAGAATGAAGACTTTCTCTAAACATGACTTTTTCATACAAATATGGCGGTGACTTGCTCGACAAAATATTATTGTAGAAACATAGTGTTAATAGTTCTGAACGCTGTTTCATGTTCAACCACTGTAAATCCTTCAGCTTATGACTAACTCTGTCATATTTCCTTACACCAAAAATGTACCTTATACATGAATTTTGAACACGCTGAATTCTAGATATCGTATCAGCATCCAAGCATGGATAATAGACAGGAGCACCATACGAAAACTGGGACAAAACCAACGTTTCGCATAGCATTCGTTTGATGTCTCTGCTAAGAAAGTGACTATGAGGGTAAAGCAGCTTGAGTGCATAGTACGCTCTTTGTATACATTTTGAAATATACTCTTTAAATCTGAACTTAAAATCTATTATGAGACCCAAATTTTTAACAGAATCGCAGTACGGTATTAGAACATTATCTATATGTAGCGTCATATTGTTCATTATCTCTGACCGATCTTTCCCAAAAATTATTGCTGCTGATTTTTTTGGATTCAGTGACATTGAATGATCATTAGAAATTTTAAAAAGAGCGTCAAGATCAGCATTAATTTTAAACTCCGCCATTGGCCAATCATCACAATGGAATGTGGCTATAAATGTGCAGCATAAATAAATAAAATAATACAGCTAGATTTTCTAGCTTCCAGTCGGCCACACAAATTTGACGTTTGCCAAGAACTTTAGGACTTATTTGGCTGCAATTCTTTCGGTAAATTTATCATGATACATTTCTGCAGTTTTTTTGTCGAACTATTCTACATTGTTCAAAATGACCGCCTGGCATCTTTGACAATAATAAAGCAGTATTAACAATACCCGGTGACAGGTATTTGTTTGCAGCGCCTACATAAATGAACAAATTTTATTTTTCTTTATAACCTAGAAAACAAATTAACATGTGATACATCGTTGAATTCGTAGAAAAAGATGCTATCAGATACAGTATGTACTTTTTGTCGGACCATATAAAAAATGAAATGTTGGGCACAAAATTTAAAAACACATGGGCACATCATTTACATAGAATATAATTAAACCTTCATTTTTCGTAACAAACATAAAAACACGAGAGCAATCGATCGCCAAATTCTCGTGCCTCTATCGTCTGTTGTGTAGAAAGACTAATAGGAGTGCGAGGGCTTGAAGTTCGCGCGCTAAAGTTTGTTTTGCCGTGAAGTAAATGTGATTGTGATTTGAATGGATTTCATAAGGGAATACTTCCAGAACACTATAATAACTACTTACCCTGAGCGTGGTTCCATTCCTAATACTCTGCATCAACTCTGACGACAACCCGCCAGAATTCATCGGTGGCGGCAACGAGCTTGGCAATGGCGGAGGCGGCGCGTCATCAGCCGGCGGTGGCGGAGGCGGTGGAGGAACCCCTGGAGGCGGCGGAGGTGGTGCAGGAGGGGCAGGCGCGGGTGGCGCCTGATTAGCTGTCGGTGGAGCAGTGCTGGGGATAGGAGGCGGTCGTTTAGAAGGAGGCGGGGCCTGAGGTCGTTGTGGCGGTTGACGATTGGATGGAGGAACTGGTGGGGGAGGAGCGGGTGCTGGTTTGTTGCCGCCAGGGACTGGAGGTGGAGGAGCTTTGCCGCCTGGAACGGGTGGTGGGGGAGCGTTGCGAAAATGCGCTGCGGTACAGCCGCCGCTACCTCCGCGGTTGTGGTGATGCTGCTGGTAGTTACTGCCCGTTGAACCTGCAAATTTAAACAGGTATTTTCACCAACAAATGTGAGTAGTGTCGTTGTGCGCATACGCATACTGAACGAAGCGAAAAAGGAGTATTTCCACTAGCTTCATTCTTGGAGAATTAGGTCCGATGAATCGCTTTACGCGGTAATTTCTAGTACTACAGCTACTGGAACATGTAGCTACAATCAGAAAAGTTTTATCAAGGTATAAAAAATCCCAACTTATGTTCATTACAAGTAAATCGTAATTCATCAATAATCTGATAAAAATCATAGTGAGAATCTCTCAAAAAAAGATTCCAAAATAATGTTTTAGTAAAATTAGTGTTTTACTGTTACACCTGTGCCAAAAGTTCAATATTCTGAGCAATATACAAATATGCGACCAGATGTCGAAAAGCTGTTCGAATGGATAATATATGAATTCATTTCAGAAAAAAAATTGGCAAAATATCAAGCTGGATTTAGAAAAAAAAATATTTTACAGAAACAGCAATCCAAATGGTGGTGGACGACTGGAGTAGAAGTAAACATGAGAAAGAATGTACTGTAACAGTATTTTTAGACTTCAACAGGGCACTTGAGACTTTAGATAGGGGAAAATTGTTAATCAAATTGCATTACTGTGGTTTTAAAGGTTCAGCATTAAATGTAAAAAAAATATTTAGTCCTTTTCATATTCAAATTAAAAAATAATTTATTACCACCACATTTATGAAACTTTATCAATATTGACATTACCAAACTAGAGACAGTTTAGATTTTCATCTACAAAACTGTAATAGTAGCATAACTAGCAAAGCTGTATTTCAAAAGTATTTGAATTTAATAAATTGAATAGTAATATCAGTGTTCGAATTTAAAAATGATTTAAGTGAAATTGAAAAAGAAAGGTAGAATTACAGGAAATTGATTAAAAAAATGTGTAAACGAATAATTATACAAATTGACATTGTAGCATTAATGCTAAATAAATCTTCAACAAACAAAAAAATATGTATATAATCATATTTATTGGAGAAGAGCTGTCTTGCAATCCTGTTTTTTTTTTGTGACGAGTCTGGAAAATGTCCACCCGCTCAGAATATGTCGGTCATTTAAATGATATAGTCATCAGAAATATAACGTTTAAAGTAGCAAATCCACTATAGTCAACGCCAAACAAAGTGGCGTGCACGTCATCACGATAAAAATTCCCCGACCTAATGCCTAGGTTTCTATCACAAACAATTGCTCTATTGCAGTTTCATATTAATGTGATATATAAATTGTAAAATGGTCATTACTCTCTTATTATGGTTAATAGTCATATAAACATTGTTATTAAAATATCACATAAGTTGCTTTCTGATAAATTTAGACGCATTATGCGAAATAAAATGTTTTGCAAACGCTCCAATCACTTATCGACATGTAAACGCACTAAACCGATTTCGCAGCGTTGACACATTGTCACCTTGAAACTTATTTAAACTGGGAACTGACATTTGTATTAATTTTGACACTGAATCAATTTGTGGCATTTCAAATCTTTATAAATCCTTTGGCCCCGCATACTGTAAATCAACAACTGTTTGTTTCAAAACAAAATTATTCATTTTACGAGTAGATAAAGGCAATTTTGGTATATAGAGATGCCCAAACAGTTAAATAGTCGGTGTAAGGAACTCGTGGCCTCGTTAATGCACTACTTTGAGCAAGAAAGGGACAACAACGGGCCTTTGTTGCCTTTAAATGCTGTTCAAGAGGTAGGTTACTAATAATTATATGTAATGTATATTAATAATAGTGAAATTTTATTTCATTTTTTGTAGCGTGTTGCTGCTGCTTTAAAAATTAGTTTAAGGACAGTTAGTCGTATTTCCGAGGGTGTGAAAAGTGATGCAAATTTAGAATCGCCCAAGAAAAAGCGGAGTTATATTAAACGTGTAACCAACACATCGACATTGGATACAAGGGCAATTCGAGAAGTGATCTATAATATGTATCACAAAAGTAAGATCTTATTATAATAACTTATCAGAAATTTGCATTAATTTGTTAACTAAATTATAATGTCATATTACACATGGTTTCAGAAGAACAAGTTACGATACAAACTTTATGGTCTCGATTAAGAGATAGGGCATTATTTGATGGTAGTGCCACGTCTTTAAGGCGGTTGCTTAGAGATCTTGGATTTAAGTGGCTTAAGGACAATCCGCGACGAGGGCTCATGGAACTACCAAGTATAGCTTTGAAAAGGGTGGAATTTCTAAGGCAATACAATCAAGCCAAGGTTGAGGCCTTATACCAGTTTGTCTTCCTCGATGAAACTTGGATATTTCAAAATGGGACCATAGGTCGCTTTTGGCAAAATGGAAACCAAAAAAGCGTGAAAGCTATTAAAACAGATGGTAAAAGGTATGGACTTTTACACAATTTGCACTATAAAATTTAAAACTAATATATTTTAGATACATTATATTACATGCTGGAAATGAAAATGGGTTTATTGAGGGTAGTGAAGCGATATTTTCTTCGAAAACAAAATTGAGCGATTACCATGGAGAGATGAACCAGGACAATTTTTTGAAATGGTTTCAACATCAGTTATTAGAAAAATTGGAGAGTCCATCTATGATTATACTGGATAACGCCCCTTATCACAGCATGATATTGAACAAAGTGCCCAACAATGCATGGACAAAAAAAAATATCCAAGACTGGTTGACAAATCAAAACATACCATTTTTAAACACAATGTTTAAAACAGAGCTATTGAGTATTGTTGCTCGGTACATAATGCTTCTTAATTATATATATTTTGGTCGACAGTTTATATTTCTTTTGTTTATTCCTATTCTTAAAATAACTGCTTTTTTAGAAACAAACCACCTAAAATATACGTGATTGATGAATTGGCGGAACAACATGGGCACAAAGTTCTTCGTCTGCCTCCTTACCATTGTATATTTAACCCTATTGAGTTAATTTGGGGCATAGCAAAAGGTTACTATAACAGACATATTGGCAGAGATGGTAACAGTGAAAAAGACTGTTTGGATATGTGGAACGAGGCTCTACAAACGGTTACCCCAGACATGTGGAAAAATAGTGTTCGACATACTGAGCAAGAAATTTTTAAATGGTATGAAAGAGAACGAATTTTTGATCGACCAGACATCGAACCTTTAATAATCAACTTTGAGAGTGATGAAGATTCAGATTCAGACAGCGCTGAAGAAAGAAACTCCGACTAACTTTATTGTACAGAAAAAGCTTCCACCAGTAGCTTACCTAATTTTAGAATGCATTTTTCTGTATGAATTCTGTAAAATAAATACCATGCATAAAATTTGGAGGACCCCATTTGGATTTTTATTCAGTACCTTTAAGCTATCAATTAAATATGGTAGTTTCATAGTGTCATCTGATCAATAATTGTCATACTTAATGATTATGCAAGTACAGATCTATAATTTTATTATACTATTATTTTTGTTCTCATTTGAGGTTAATATTGCTTATAAACCTAGATATGTAAATAATGATGATGATGATAATAATTTTTCAACACACCCACCTTGATGACGTGCACGCCACTTTGTTTGGCGTTGACTATAGTTAAATAGTTTTGTGAAGTGGTAACGAATGTATGGTATATCCCATATAAGCAGTGTCATACCTCTGGGTGGTACAGCAGGTGGTGTGACATCCTGCGCTGGCGTTGTCGGTTTGGAAGTGGCAGTCGGGGCCATGGATGTGTTTGACAGCGCCTCTCTGACACCTTCTTTTTCTATGAAGTCATATATATATGCTCTGGTATGCTTGTCGCGCAACTGATGCTCAGACACTCCAGCCTGAAATTTAGGTTTGGATAAATCGTTTTCTTTTTTCAGGACTAACGAAATAGTATGACAACGGAGAGCAAAAAAAAATACAAAGCGAAAGGTCTGTAAATTAAGTGATGAGACTGGCAACCTAGCATTCGATCTTCAGTATAAGTTTGAACTGGCTCGAGTCATTTGGTTGTCTGTAGCGTTTTTTTTTGTGAAACAGCTTTTTCTATTGTATGAAATGAGAGACATCAATAATTTGAGGCAATGGTGTGCTATCAGGTTTTGCTTCAGACTACGGTACAGTGCAACGGAAACTCTTGCTAAACAGGCCCAGGTTTCTCGCTGGTTTCAGGCATTTTCAGAAGGATTAAAGATGAACCACGAAGCGGAAGGTCTTCATCTTCAAGAACCGATAAAAATATCGCCAGAATCCTGGATCTTGAGCGTTCAAATCGATGGGTGACAAAATGGTCGGGGCAGTGTTAAATTTGACTCACATCAGATCAGGAACAACTGGGTGTTACGTCACGATAATGCCGATAAACGAGTTTTTGGTCAGTAAAAGTATTCCTGTGGCTTCTCAGCCTCCTTATGTGCCTGACTTGAGTCCTTGCGACTTCTTTCTGTCCCCGAAGTTGAAAAATCACCCCAAAGGAACTCAAGTTGAAACAGTCAAAAACATTCAAAGTATTGGAGTTCCATGAGTGGAAGAACCGTCTCTAGCGCTGTGTGGCTTCAGAAAGAAGTTATTTTGAGGGTGATAATATAAAATTTTTATTATATTTGAATGAATAAATTGAAAAAAGTCTGATCACTCAATTTACAGACCTCGTATATTAGCGTTAAAATTATCCTGATACCTTTTTGAAGAAGGTCTTGAGCGACTCATCCTCCGTATCAATATCAAAGCCAAACGTTGAGTTCCAACTGATATGCGAGACATGTTTGAAGTCACTGGGACAGCCGATGTCCGCTTTGGTGATATTCCTTCGCCGTTTATTCCGCTTGGCCACCGGATCCAACGTCTTTTTGAACGCAAAATTCTGGCCCACGTCTTGCACGTGCGCTTTCGGAGAAGGCAACGTCTGGCTGTGCGTGTTTTGCTGCCGGTTATGTTTCTCTTCGCGCCTTTTCCGTGCTAGCACTTTTTGGTGCACCACGTATTTCAGGTCGCGCGCTTCTTCGACAGATGCAAAATTGAACGCCACCTACATAAGAATAATATTAGTAATTTAGATGTTTGGTAGTTTTACCTGTAAAATTTTGCGGGGTTTTACATAGTGATATTATTATGAATTTTTGAGTAGGTACTTTTATCAAATTTGCGCTCTGCTAGGTCGTATATTTTCTATTCCCTCCGTAATATTGGAAAATGCTGCCTAAAACAGTTTTCTGACAATATCTTCTCATTCTGACTCATATTTCTGTTTCCATGGCAGATATAGGAAAAATATGTGTGACTTTTATGTTTAAAAGGTGCATTTTATTTCCGGCGTCTCTGAATCAATTTTCAAAATCCACGTCTACCTAAACGATGGAAGTATTAAGCTCGCGATAATGTTCGAACTTCGGTTCACAAGTTTTCTGTCGCTGAAAGTGTCTGTTGTATTTCTGTGCGTCATAAGTACTGCGTCATTTCACTTGACGATATGTTCAGAGGACCATCATAGGCGGAGTAACAGAAATTAAAGGTTAGGCGAAACAGCTTATGATCATAAAATTCAGAAAAATATGTGTAGATATAAAAACAGTCGAGTCACCATTTACAAAAGCATCGCATAACGCTAAAGTGGTAAGTACACCCAATACACACACACCACCGCAGACCAGTTGGAGTTTGTTACACATTGAATGGTCAGCAGTGACCTCCACGATTATATACCGGACTTTTGTCACTTAATTTTCCATTTACAACCCCCTACAATCCTCCAAAAAAAAATCCGAAAATGAGCGATTTTTATTGTTTTCTTGTTTTTGCCACTAGCTCCGCCACCACTATATTGATTTTTTTAAACTATAGCTAAAAGCTTTCAAATCCTTGGTACAGTAGTAATCTTGTGTGAAAATTTCATCAAAATCCGAGCGATATTTCTTAAGTTATAAGCGGTTATAAAATTAGCGGACAGACAGCCCGACCGAAATGAGTGACATGGTTTTCGAAATGTACATGTGATATAACATCCAAAAAACATAATATACAATTTCGAAAATAGTTAATGGAGCTCAATGTAGAAAATTGTATATAGCATGTAAGGCAAGCAATTCAATCTCGTCTCAGAGTTATTCAGGTGTGGTCCTTAATCATTTCTTCAGTGGCATAGAAATTTAAACCACACTACACACAAGATCGAAATTTTCAAAAAACTCCTTCGAAAATGAGCTTTTTGGTATATATTCGTAGTTCAATTTGTCGATATGTCGGGGACAATGAGAAATATGTGAAGAGTAAAAATTCGGAAATAGCACGTAAAAATCTCTTGGATTTGCAATTTTAAAGCATTTTCCAAAACTTAAAAAATACTAACCCATTGGCTCAACACGAACAGTTCTGCGTGTTAGCTTTGCGTAAGCCGCAATTACTCATCCTTCAAAAAGCATTATGAATGACTAAATTGTGGGGGAAATGCAACGAATATATCGTGAAAAACTGTTTTCGAATGCCATCTTCGATTATAGCGGCGTCTTGCTTTTTCCGTACCAGATAATTCGGCACGGTGACTTGAGTAGGTTATCACATAGCTCTATTCTTTCAACCTGGTTAATAGTAGTGATACTGATCAAAATAAATTTTTGAGAATGTAGGAGATAAATATCAGGAAGGTCATTTATTTCTATCACATTCTGAACCCGATAGAGAACGTGATATAGAGAATTGATTTGATTACATGATCAGTGTAACAATCAGAGCGAAAGAACACAGCAATTGTTATAAAAATAACCATGCGACTACTAACCAGACTGTCGTTTCCTTCAAATATATGAAAAAATGGTGTTCCTTCAATGTATTCCATATCATTGTACATTTCATGTTCCCACACCTTGGAGTTTCTCTTAAGACAGTATAGACGGAAAAAGAAATTCCTCTTGGTATTGTCCTTGATGAAACAGAGCACTCCAGTATTTTTCTTAACCCATTGTGAATGGTAGGGGGACTGTGTTTGATACAATTGTACCACTGCAGTAGATAATGACTGGCACCGATTTCCCAGAAGTTTGAACACCTAAATGCGGAGAAACAATATAAGTATACAGAATGGCCAATATATCTATTAACAACTAATTTTTTTCTCCAATCCCTTTAAAAGAAAATGAAATATATCCGATTTTATTGGATTAATATCTTATTGAAAGTTATGTATGAAAAATCATATACGAGTATATCCACCACTGGAACCCTCACAAACCTGCGTCCACCAGTTCCCATTTTCTATCACTTCTCGGTAGATTTCACGAGGAATATTTCCCAAATATTGCTCAGCTCATGGTTCGTTGCCTTATACCTTATTAAATTTGGTGATGTTAGAGGCCAGATAGCAACCCCTACTGGAGCGATCAAACGCCTTCAAAATATTTGTAAAACATTCAACTTTCTGTAGTTGTGTAATGGAGCCTCTAAGCAGGCAATGTTTTTGTTGCAACATTTGGCTATAACTATGGCAACTATAGCCCAGCCATCATTGAAATATTGCAGCATATGGCCCTGTTATATCAGCTATATCTTGACAATATTTTCTCCAAAGTGTAGACTCTGACTTGATTAGAATTATCTATTAGAAGAGCTACAAAGCCAGGCAAGATTAACAGAAATTTTACGCGGCAGCTTACAGTACAGGACTCACTATCAAGTAGAAACTTGATAGTTCGGCAATCTGTCAGCAATAGGTCAGAAATGTCAAATATGTGTAGCAATAGTCCTGTTCATACAGCTGTCATTGTGACCTGTCAGTGATCATGTCCAACACCCCTTCACACAAATTCTGTCCATTCATTTACGCTATATACGTAGTCATGCCATAAGTTCTGTCCCTCGTTTTCAAACAAGTGTAGACCTGTTAATACTTGTCCGATTGTTTACATTGTGGTGTCAGTTGATTAAGCGCTTTTCGGGTAATTACATATACCTCAGTTTGTATTGATCTCTCGAAGCATAACGATGGAGTGGGGCAAGGCAGAGAACCGTATTGCAGTGATAGCTTTACATAAGTGTAATCACAGTGCTAGTCAGATTTTTGAACTCTTACGCGGCCTTCAAATATCGCGTAAATTTGTGTCTAGGACCATTCAGCGGTACAATGAGACGTCCTCTGTTGATATCAGGCCAAGAAGCGGAAGACCTCGTCAAGTAAGGACTCCAGCAGCCATCAAAGCCGTAAAAGCCAGGATTCAAAGGAATCCACTCCGGAAGCAGAAGATCCTATCCAGGGAAATGAAGATGCCTGTCCGGACGATGTCGCGCATCATTAAACAAGACCTAGGGCTAGGGGCTTACCGGAGACGTACGGGCCAGCGACTTACGGCCACCTTGCGACACATCAGGGCGACAAGATCCAAGAAGCTCTTGGAGAGGTACGCAGCTGGGGGATTCCGAAAGATTTTGTTCACGGGTGAGAAAATCTTCACCATAGAAGAAAAATTCAACCGACAAAATGACAAAGTGTATGCAAGGAGTTCACAGGAAGCTTCGGAGATCATTCCGAGAGTTGAGAGAGGCCACCACCCTGCGTCAGTCATGGTTTGGTGGGGGGTGTCCTACGAAGGGGTCACTCAGCTCCATTTCTGTAAACAGGGCGTGAAAACAAAAGCGGCAAACTATCAGAGCGACATACTGGATCCTATCGTCAAGCCTTTAAGTGGTACATTGTTTGCCAACCAACACTGGGTCTACCAGCAGGATTCCGCCCCCGCTCACAAGGCTAAGAGTACGCAGCGCTGGCTGGAAAGCAATGTGCCAGAGTTCATTGCTGCGGAAGATTGGCCCTCAGGGAGTCCGGACCTCAATCCTTTAGACTACAAGTTGTGGGACCTGCTAGAGCAGTTGGCCTGCTCCAAAGCCCACCGTAATATCGAGTCCCTGAAAGCGGATTTGATCCGATCAGCGGCAGCTATTCCTTTGGAAGCTGTGCGTGCAGTGATAGATGAGTGGCCCGCGAGATTGAAGCAGTGTGTGAAGGCCAAGGGGGGACATTTTGAATAAAACTGTTTGATTATGAATTCTAAAAATGTTGTCGAATAAATAATATCTTTCATATAAATATATCTTATCTTGTTTCATTTTTATCATGAGATTATCATGGGACAGAACTTATGGCACGACTACGTAGATGGAATTCACACCACCGGATCCCAGGCACCAACAAGTCACTGACCACTGTACAGATAAACCTAATCTAGTCGGTCCATACTAAAAATAGTGTCATGTCTACTTTTGCAATTAGATTATGCAGTGAAAATATTGCCCATTTAGATGTAACAACTTGTTCCTATATTTCAGGGTAAGTTGTTTATTTAAGAGGTTTTGCATCATAATGCGCTAATACTCCTCAGTGCTAATAAGGAAACTACCTTCAGCGCCTTCAATACGGCCCCCAAGATCACCAAGTTTAACAGTCCCAAACCTCTTTTTGTGGGAATTTTTAATAAATAAAGTTTATGTCAACAAACCAAGTGCAATATAACAGCTAGATAGATGGAGAGCAACATTAGGGAAGCGATTCAGAATACTCCTGAAATTTACCAAAAACTGATGGAGAACTTAAACCAAGGGGGCTTAGCTTTGTACTGCTCCCAGATGTGGGCATTTGTTTAATAACTTATTCTATACATAACTCCTAGCTTTCCATAAAGGATAAGGATACAAAAAATGGTCCATTTCGTTCCATTTGAAAATATAAGTCAGTCAGTTATATATTGACCAGCCTGTATTTTCACAAAACATGATAAATGCACACTAAATTTGAAAACTATATAGCTTCTCCTGATTTTATGAACAACAAATATGATTTGTCCAGAAATGGAAGTGTTTTCTTCCTGATGTCAGGAAAATTAACAACCAAGTTACTCCCTGTGACTGCCACATCTCTATAATGAGATATTTTGCATAATTTTTTTTCTGATAAAACATCAAAATATTGCCTCCAATAAGAATGTGGTATCTTCACATCTTTCTATAAATGGGTAGTGAGAGAATTTGATCTTGAAAGTTGCCCCTAAAACATATACTTCAGGTTATATACTTAGAAAAGGTGCTTATCATATTTAAGTAGGAATCTTCAAAAACAGATAACAAAAAGAGCAAACAGTAATCTATAAAAAGTGACTTGATTATGGAAGTGGCAAGGAACGTGTTGAAACGTATGCCTCTCAACCCCTCAAATTAGAGGTTGGATTAGAATATAGGATTAAAACAGTCTATTGGAAATGACCAAGAAAGCCTCCCTTGGAGCTTTGTAACAACAGTGCTCTTTGGTTCACTTTTGATGATGAAATGAACATGAGGATTTCAAAAAAGTCTAAAATCTGCGATTTGATGCGCAAGAAGGTCTACTTGGCCATGTTCTTAACTACCGCTAAGGTTTATATTGTTTTATAGTTCAGTATGATTGGAATGCCTGTGATTAGAGATACTGATAACACCTGATACTGGAAGATAGTGTAGGATGTACACAGTTCAAATAGCAATGTTTATGAGATAATTCTGAAGAATTATAATTCTAAGCACAGGCAACATGAAATGATTAGAGGTGAGTATAGTTTAATAGCAGCGAATTAGAATAGAATAGAATAGATAGAAAACTATCTTTTTTCAGTGTTACCCTAGTAACAATATTTTTTTGAATTATGAACAAAGTTTCATTATCACTTTTCAGATTCTCGAAATCAGGGTTAATAAAATAATATCCTTGTCGTGGAGATTTCAAAGAAAAATGTTCAAAATTCAAAAGTAATTGCAAACAATAGTAGTATGAAATGATAGTGTATCCTACTGAGGGCATGTAGGTGTTTGAGCAGTGTTCTTTCCTGTAAGAACATTAGTGCTTATGGTGACTTAGTTGCTATTAATTGCTTCAGATGGTGTTGCCACAGGTGGTACTAGAAAGTAGATGTACTATCTGTAGCATAAAAATAATCTTGGGGGCAACGTCCAACATCTGGCAGGAGCAATTAGTAACTAATGGTCAAATAATCACGAAGAAAGCATTTAGGCCCACCTCTAGACAAATACAATGTGTACTGTCAGGAGAAACTTCCAAAGTAGTCTGGGTACTTTTTTAATCACAGTTTATAAATTATTTTCAAATCAATAATCATACAAACTATGTTTCAGAACCCTAAAATTTAACAACTTGTATAAAATAGCACAGTGCCAAAGCACAGTATAGAAATAATAACATTTGCAAATAATTATAGCAATGTTATATTTCAGACCAACATCAAACCTTTTCAAGATAGAAAATCTGAGCTGTATGCAAATAAAATCGAAATAAGCCAGGTCCAAAAACAGTTCAGTTTTGATCCCCAGAAAAATTTTCCTATTTAAAGGTATATATTGAAACAATTAACGCACGTAGAATAATGTATCACCATTTGTATGTAAGCAAAATAACGATATTCCTTATTCTAGCCTTGAGGGGCATGATATCTTGGGTCTACCTGCAAGTTTTCCTCGTTCGACAACAACGGGCTTTGTTGGTTTTCAATCACTGGAGCCATATTGGTTGATATTAACGAAACAACAAGCTACATTGTATAATATACCATATTTAATGAAAATATTAGAAATATTATGGATAATCGAAAACGGGATAACCTAAAATTTTGACAACTGTGACTCACGTCAGCTCATGTCCAGATATCCAGAAATCGGGTGACGTTTTTATATTCGATGTAGAGGTGGCAAAAACAAAACTAAAACTCGAATACCAAAGACGAATACATTTGATCCTATTTCTGAATATGCGCCATATAAGCGCTTGGCTAAGTAGCGGCTACCTGTTTTTTATGTAATAACCCTGCGGTTCAAGTGTTCTTAAATAAAATCATGTGCCAAATGAGATATTATTTGCGACATTCTCGCCACGTGAGAAGCTATTAAAACCTAAAAGGTTTGATTAGCCTTACCAATGTACCTACGTCGACATTTCTTCAACTTTGTGCCTTCAATGGCATCTACTGTCGCTTCGTATGAAATAATCAAATATATATCTCCCATCAAATGGTGGGTTATAACCTCTTGCATTGAAAATGAGCATATAAAGTTAATATGAAATTTCATTCGTATTTATTTGACTAGCTTTGGTAGAAATAAGTATGTATTATGTGTTGGTGTGTGTAAACACACAAGGTCAAATTGCTGACGCAAGTTGTGCTAAGTTAACATCTTGTAGAAAAACCTACGTAATGTCACAAGAAACCAATATAACTGCATCTACATTCCCCATAAATGGGATGCATATTGGAGTATTCCTATACGGTGTACGCAGACATGGTGACACTACACAATCATCAATTAATAAAGTTGGTGTAAATATCTGTCTTGTCACTACGTAGAATGACACTGTCCATCTCTCCGTCTAAGAAATACTTGAAATTTGTAGTAATAGGAACTATAAAATCATCACAGGGTTTTTAAAGCCTATAAGTTGAAACTTACGCGGCTTAGATTTTTCTGATATCTATTATGACTTGATCTATCCCGCGTTTCCGGCGTGACGTCGATTTCTGGGACACCCTGTATAGCGTATGCCACACGCTCTCTAGCTGTGCGCTAAGTTCTCTTCTGAGGAAAACACATTGCACATATTCTTGCCCTGAATGAGAAATCTTCCGGGTAGTACCTTCACGTTCAACGATCTGTGACCGTCTACCACCTAAGCAAGCACAGGTTCATAATATCTATAGCCAAGAGAAAACATTTTTGAAAGACGGTATTTGAACCAGCGCGGATCATTGTAAATGATTAGTAGATCAACAGCCTAAGCCACCACGCCGTAGAGTTACACTTTACCATCAAGAATTTCATTAAATATGTATTTCCTTATTTAATTATTCAGAAAACTATTTATTGTAAGTATAGTTACATAAATTCACTATATAGAAAATGTCTGGTAATTTTTTGTACAAGTTGGCAAAATTACTTTTTTCATACTACCCTAACATGGACTTGTTACCTGCCGTGTTTGCTTGTTAAGTTAAACTGTATCCATCGAAGAAACAAAGTAAAATCAAACATATACACCCGTATTGCACGTGATCAAGAACTTAACCGTAGGAGACGCTACAGGGCCGTATCAAGCTATTGTGACTGATCTATCAAAAAATGTCGTACAAGATATGTGTTGCTGTAAATTCTATCAAAAGCATAGTAAATTATCAGGAATATGCCACGCCTTTCTAATCATATTTCGACATTAGGAATCAGTGCAAAAAATTCTGTATTCACCGTTTCAGCAAAATGTTACTAAAACGCACACGAGAAAAACTTGTGGACCATCTCAATTGAAATTGTTCATATTTTATTATTAACTTACATATATACCCAATAATATTTACAAATCAACCTTCTATTCACAATGCAGAGCAAATTTTTTTGAGCAAATAGAAACTACAGACGTAGTAGTAGTAGTACAAAAGTTTATTACAGACTCCATAAAGTTTGTTAGTTTGATTGCTATTAAAATTTACATGAGAAATAGGAAGAAGGTCAAAATGGCACTATTATGCTTTGGAACTCCTAAATTAACCCTAATTTAATTTAACTAGAAACTTACACTTTGATTGCAGTCTATAATGAACTTACCTGTCTTGCCAAAAAGCACGTTAAACTGCCAGTCTTAATGGTATCAATCGATTTATATGCTGTATTCCGAGGAGCTTGAATCATCAGAAGACTTTACGTTGCCAGGCTTAATGTCACAATGATCATGTTTTATTGGGAAAATTGTCAGAAATCGCCGAATGTTGAACAGAAACATTACAAGAAGTCTAACCTTGAAATGTGAGGCTACAAATCGATATTCTTATAGGGGGGAAGGGTAGGGAGCTGTTATGGTTCCTATTAACCTTGGTGAAAGTTGGAAATGGTAATATCATATATGGCATACATTCGGTTGAAGGTGTGTGCACGGAAAATAGATTGCGGATAGGATTTTAATAGATAAATCTGCACAAAAAAACACAAAAGGAGATTTTTGTATTTCCCTGAAGAATATCTCAAGGTTATTTCAGATGTACTCATCGAAACTTTATGGAAGGATTATCGAAACCTTATTTTCAATTGCGATAGGGCCACATACCTCGACATCGCATTAATGTGAAAAATAAGACAATAGAAAAAAATTCCCTCACTGATGCTATCTCTTAGGAAAAATTTAAGATTATAAAAGATTGCACAAAAATTTTCTTCACCTTTTTGAGCTTGTTTTCGCATCTCCGTATATGCCGTTCATAATTTGCTGCAGATCAAATTGGAATATACCTTTGTGATGCCATTTATTGTTATATAATGTCCTTTACAACAGTTATTGCACGTATTGCACCAACAGATTGATTTGTGATCCATGCGAATGTGATCAACCACTCTGGCGAAAACTCGCCGAGCGTGGCAACCGTGCGATTTTGTCTGGAGGCTCGTCGCTACAAGCCAATCAGGAAGAGGCCGACAGAGCGCCATGGCTACCGATCACGCGTTGATCACGAATCAACCATTGTTTACGATTACTTTGTAGCTTCGTTAGATACACAGTAGTAATTATTAGTAGTAATAATTCGATTCTGCAGAAACGCGTTTTCCCATCCTTAAGGCTTAAACGTCAAATACACCACACGTGACATGTTTCTTCTAAGGTAATAATAGCCTATTGTTGCCGAATCTACCGATTTTTCTATCGAAATGAGACCTTATTTTTGAGTTGTTGATTCTCGTTACCCTCTCGACCCTACCTGTGTGCTCAAACAGTGAAGCCTAAATGCGATTTAAACGCTTTTATTGTTAAATAACTCGTCCCTTTAGATCAGAACTAGCCTATGTCCATTTTTGTCAAAATTGAGATTTTAGACTATATGATGCAGTAAGGTGTCGCCTATCAAGTGCAGTACTAATCTAAGTCCTAACGTTTATATTTTTCACGTACTCATTAAATTAAGAATAAGCCTATGTCCTGAAGCAAAATAATTGTTAGTGCAGAACTATCCTTTTTTAGAACAGAAATTCTATGTCCATATTTGGGTAAATAATTTTTAATGCAGAAGTATCCTTTGTTGGGACAGATTACCTATACTAGTGAATTGTGTGGACTTAAGCTAGTTCTACTTTGAAACAAAATTTTATGTCCAAGAAAATGTGGACTTAGGCTTATTCTGATCTATAATTTTAATAAACCCTCACATCTTTTAGTGGACATAAACTAGTTCTGCACTGTACTGGTTTCGACTTGTTAGAAATCTAGGCATTTCAAGGCGCCACCGTACACGAATAACGCAGATTACCTCAGTTTAAAGCAGTTCTTAGTGTATAGTGATCGAGTTTGCGCAACGTAAACAAATTAAATATGAGTTCTAGAAGGAAAAAAATTTTTGATCTTCTGGCCAGGCACTGTGATGGTAAGTAGTGCTTTTCTAGCTATACAAATATTCTTAAGTAACACGTTAACATTGGAAATACGTTTTTAGCTACTGGTTCAGGATAAATTCTATTTATTTTTTTAATTGTATAAATAAAAAAACAAATAATACGATCTACACTCATAAAACTCTGTACTGAATAATGTTTACTTTATTTTTTTATAGATACCAATCATGACAAACTAACAGTATCTGCAAGACCAGAAAAAATAGACGCCCAATATTTGATGAATACAGCAAATCTTATGCCGCCTGATTTACTCTCTAAGGAAACGGCTGCTTTTAACAAGAGCGATAATGCATTTTGCAGTATGAACCTCGAAAATATAAAATCAGTTTTGAGTATTGAATCCAATAAAGTTACACCGATTGTGGCCGATAAAGGAGACGCAAATGCTAGTGAAGAAGTAAGAAGTGTTCTCGAAAAAATCATAGGTAAGCAAACTAACGAGTAAAAAGAATTAGTAATATTAAAAATCAAACACTTTACCAGTAAACAAGCAATTATACTCAAGGTACATGGTATACATCTTGCTTAGGATAGGATTATTGGCCAAGCATACTGAGTTTCAGTCAAATAAATGTATGTGGCCCATTTTTTAATAGAAGATAGAATAATAAGAGTGTTTTATAAGGTGTGTATACTTGTATCCTCAAAAATAATATCTAAATCTCCGGTTTTGTTGATAACAGTTTTAAGGCTAAAAAAACAATAGGCTTTTGAGGCTTTTCAACAACAATATTTAGTTATCCTTGGGGTCTAGAAAGTGAGTACCTCCGGTCTGTTTAAAAAAATAATCATTTATTTATTTTTAATGTTTGTGTAAGTAATTTTGGTCCCATAAATGATTTGGTTTTTATTTTCGTTGTCAATTTTAAAAGTAGGTATTTTGTTATAAATTTCTTACTGAGACTTTTTGTTCTAGATGTAATAGAAACTGACCAATTGGACCCTGAAAAATGTGGCAAACGGAAAAATATTGTCGAAGAGGATCTGTATTTATCATCGGACACGGATCCTTTCCAAACTGATGATGAAGAAAACGACCCTAATTTTAATCCACAAGAAAGCAGAAAGAAGAGAAAAAACTTTAATTTTGAAAACAATTATCAAGAAACTGATACAAGTTCTAACACAGATGAAAAGAATAAAAATGCTAGAAAAATATCTAAAAAAAAGCTAAGAAGAGAACATACTTGGAAAAGAAACATAATTAAGTCATCGAGAAGTCAAGGAAAGAAATACACCAACTGGAAAGGAAAAAAACAATTAGCAAGAAAAATGAAAACATCATGTGAAGAGAAATGTAGAATGAAGTGTCTAAATAAAATGAGTGAAGAAGAAAGACATAAAATATTTACTGAATATTGGGGATTAGGAGATGTCAACCGCCAACGTGATTTTATATCCAAATATGTTACAGTAGTTTCTAAAGCTAGAACTAGAATTCGTAAAAAGAATAAGCATCATCCCGCTGAATTACCAGAAAAGAATGACAATACATTCTTAGAACTGTCTAATGATAAAAACAGTAGAAGAAACAGTACTTTTACATACTCTCTTCCCAAAAATGAAAACAATAAGGTGCAAATATGTAAAACTTTTTTTCTAAATACACTGTCAATCAGTGCACAGGTAGTCAAAACCGTTATGAACAAAACTGGAACTTCAGGTATTGTTTCCGAAGATAGACGAGGAAAAGCTTGCAAAAACACTCTTATTGACGAGTCTACTAAACAAAATGTTAGGGATCACATAAACTTATTTGAAACAATTGAAAGTCATTACTGCAGACAAAAGACCAGTCGTAAATATTTACCCCCAACATTTAACGTAAGCAAGATGTATACCATGTACCTGGAGTATTGTCAGGAAAAGAATATTAGGAAAACAGTAACTGAAGCAATGTATAGAACAATCTTCAATAGAGATTTTAATCTATCCTTCTTTCAGCCCAAAAAGGATCTCTGCGATATTTGCCACAACTACGATAATAGTTCTCTTGAAGAAAAATTAGAGTTGGAAGAAGATTATCGCATCCATATCCTAAATAAAAATAGGGCAAGAGAAATCAAACAGTTTGAGAAACAAAGAGCAGCTGAGAATAGCAGTGAGGTTTGTTGCGCTGTCTTTGACTTGCAACAAGTGTTGCCAGTTCCCAAATCTAATGTTGGCCTGTCCTATTACAAATTAAAATTATCAACTTACAACTTTACTGTGTACAACCCAGCAACAAAAGAGTGCAATTGTTACATGTGGAATGAGGTAGTCGGAAACAGAGGTGCCTCTGAGATTGGAAGTTGTTTACTTTTGTACATTATCAGCCAAGTAGAACAAGGAATAAGAGAATTTAGCTTCTTTTCTGACAACTGTAGCGGTCAAAACCGCAACAGATTTTTGTACTCTTTGTACAGCTATTTATCGCAAAAATATCAAATAAAAATAAAACATACCTACTTAGAAAAAGGCCACACTCAAAGTGAAGGCGATTGCGTACATAGCGTAATAGAAAGAGCTGCTCGAAATATACCTATATACACACCAGATCAGTGGTATACGGTTGTAAGGACAGCTAAAAGAAAGGATCCTTACAAAGTAGTTGAGCTTGCACAGGAAAATATATATGATTTAAAAGATCTTGAAAAAAAGACGTGTATTAACTGGGAAAGAGATGAAGAAAACGAAAGAGTGTTTTTAAATAAAATAAAAATAGTTGAAGCTGATCCACGTTTCCCTAACACTTTACTTTTTAAAGTTAATTACGACTCTACCTACAAGAAATTAAAGCTCACAGAAAAAGGAAGAAAAAAAATAGATGTCGAGATAGCCTCACTAAAACTAAAACCATGCTACGAAAAGGAAATTTCTTTGAAAAAACTGAAGTATGATCATCTTCAGTTTCTTTGCCGTAAAGGAGCAATTTTAGCGCCTTACCATAGTTACTTTAAAAATTTACCATTTTCCAACAAAACGAACTTTCAAGATTCCGATAGTGATGAATAGTCTAAGATGTTTTTTATTTGTGTAGAAATTTAGGGTCAGTTACTTAAGAAATATTTTTCATTTGTTTTAAAACATGTTATTTTAATTATTTAAAAAATTAATATTTTTTATTTTTTAGAAACTCAAGCTCAGTTCCATTTGTTAAGGAATTTGGGCTCAGCTACTTAAGTTTTAAGTATTTTATTTCTATTACTTACTAACTGTGTATTAATAAAAATTATTCTAATAAATTTTATTAGATGAACATTTGTGTTTTTATAGAAAAAAGTCAATAAATCAGTTTTCACAAAAATTTTGAAGCAGTAATAGATAATATTTTACGTTATTATCGTAGCAGGTTTTGAATAAAAAGTCATAAAATTAACCAATGACTATATTAAGTCCATAAACATACAATAAGCCTAAGTCCAAGAAGTGGACTTGGTATACTTGCTAACATTAAAAGTAATCTATGTCCAACTTTTTGCTTTAACGTTAATGTTTTTCGTTTTTACTAAGGTATATTAAAAACAGACATTTTTAGAACATGTGTACAAATTTTCATTAAAATATCTGTATAAATAAAGAATCTATTAAAAAAAAACCGTTTCCTGAAAACTTTGCTTTTTGGACTTAGGCTAGTTCTATTCTAAAGGGACGAACTAAATTAATTCCTCTTTTTTGTCTTCGTGCAAATCGATTTACGGCTTCTTCCGTATCGACATACACATCTTTATGGACACATAAAAGTGCCAGTTAGGCAATTTTATGCAATAGAGTCTTGAAACTACGTCTTGAGCCTCTTGAGCTTAGAAACGGCCCTCTATGCTGTTGCTACACAAGAACTTTTTGATGTTGGGGTACATTTTTGCATCGCAATTTTCAATAAGTCTAGGAATCGAACGTGGAATAGTCTGCATTCCCTGCCATTTTGCCATCCACAGATGATATTCATTCACAATTATCGAAGCATAATTTCCAATTACCAAAGTTATTATTTTTAAGTCATTATTATATAAAGGTGTACAAAACTTAGCAGTATAGTTAGGTATTGCGTTTATGGCTAATCTGTCTCTGGCGAACTAAATGAATAAATAGTTTTCGTTGGACTATATCGTCGTCTAAGTTCAGCACAACTCAAAACTGACAAATTTTTAAAAGAGAAATACCAGGTCCAGCAAATAAAGGAGCTGGCTGAGACAGTTCGGGACCAAAACAGTAAAATAGATTGCCTGGCCACCCAGGTAACACAGTTAATTAATAATTGAAATTTTAATTCCAAATATGACGAAGATGTCAATTTAAAGAGAGCTTTTGAAAATTTGACTGTTAACATGACGTCAACTGACGATAAATACAGAATGACGGATTCATCCAGGCCAAGTCTAGAAAAAGACGCAGCGGCAAAACGGAAAAAACGACACGACAGATGACTTTCCACCTCTTCCCAAAGCAAAATCAAAATGTATCAACTTGTTTTGCGTGATGCGGCCAAGTGGCGAAAACGAAAATACTCCTTTCACGCAATCGTCGTTGATGCGAGAATCAGGATTTTGCCGAAAACTGAGGATGACTACACTAGGATGATTCGCCGGTTCAGAGAGGAGAACATACGTTCCCTCTTCCTTCAGAATGAAATATTTACGCGGTAGTAAGAGGTATATACCTGCAAACTTTTTGGAACAGGAGATCAAAGGAGAAATAGTACAGAGGGGATATACTCCCCTCCACGTTATCCGACTCAAACGCAGTGGCGCGGCGGACCCATGCCTTTATTGGTCGTGATACTGCCCCCAAGATTGAAAGGTCCCAAAAGCTGTTCAATGAACACGAGCGGCTGGGTCTATCATTCAGAGTTGAAGCTCAAAAGAACTCTAGACTTGAGTAGTGTGACCACTGCCAAAGGTATGGTCATTCACAGTCTTATTGCACAGCACCTTCGAAATGTTTAATATGGGCTTTTGACCACATTACACATTTATGCCCTTTCACAGGACAAGAAGGTATGTGAATTGTGAAGGGGCGCACCCTGCTAACAGTCCCAATGGCAGAAGAAATCTGGACGTTATAGCGCAAAGACGCAGCAAGTCATACGCGGAAGCAGTCGTTTCAACACCTTCGGCTGCCTCCCTGTTCAATTCAGTTTAAGCACGCAGAATGTGGACCTAGCAACTGCGCTTCAACAAATAATAACTCCCGTGATTACGGCCATCCAGGCATTGCAAGCGATGTTTCCGCAGCCAGTTAGCACAATAGACAACCTGCATTCAACAAAATTCGTTTCTGGAGTTGTCTGGGCCTAAGGGATATTCCCAAAAAACAGGAATTTTATCAAACTCTATTGGATGAGAGTAAGGATGTAGCTCTGCTGCAGGAAACATTACATTGCTAATCCGGGAGATCGTTTAACTTTCTCGAATTAAGATGTTATACGCGCTGAAAGCTGAAAGATTGAACGGTAATAGTGGTGGCTTGACTATGCTCGTTTACAGAAGCACAGAGAACCGTCTGGACGACTACACAGCGTCAGATCCACGTTACGAATAAGGTGGCAGTTTGCCGCAGCATGTCTCTTAGTATTCAATGCATATAATTGTTTGGTGGTGTTGCATTTCAGTGTGGCTGTATATGGTGTGCCCTTGGGATTAACAGCGTACTTAGTTTTTTTTTTGTTACTTGTGTATTATGCTGCTAAGGATACATACTAGTAGACCCTGATGCGCAATTTGTCTGTAGGCAGCCTGGAGACGGCCTCAAAACACGATCTATAGATGGTCTATAGCTATCCTTCTTTGTCTTGCCTAGCGTCCATACAATAATGTGAATTTTTTGGTTCGTTTTCGCAATCAAAAACATTGTTTTGTGTGGAATGGACTGGGATATGTCTCGGGGTCCCTCGGAATGTTTTTTTTTTTTGGTTAACAGAGCAATGAAGTTTTTTATGTTTGAATCTTTAATATTATTACACTAGTTAATTATGAATGCGACTTACTTATTTTGTTCTCAGATAATAAAATATTGCCTTTCTGAGGATTTCTGAGCATTTCGATGTTTTTTTTTCAAGCTGGCCTTGACCAGATAGAACACAATGGATTTAAGAAGCAATAATAGGATAAATTCTAGAAGTTCCACTGAGGTTAAAAAATGACCAGCCCCAAACATCCCTAGACGAAATCCTAAATCCGCCCTTGATGGGATTTCAAAATAAATTGCATATTGACATTGTTATTTATTCTCCTCTACAATAAGGCATAGTCAAATGTTCAATTCGATATCTCTTCTTTCGACTTACCAGCTTGGTTTTTTCATATGGTCGCTGCATTGGAATTTTGTATATTTTACTAGACTTTTCAATCCTAAGTCAGTGACGTATTTCTTTAGTAGACCATGAATTTGTTGTTGGATGAAAATTATAAGTAAATAAAAAGATATGGTGAAACCTGAATACAAAATGAACATTTTATGGTTGATAATAACAATAATAATCATAAATAAGCAAAGGTAAATCATAGCAGATGATCAAAATTTTGTCCGTTAGCCTGACTTCTATGTGAAGGTTCAATTTGAGGTCTCGTATGGTATACAAAATAAATGATGATTTGATAAGGCCTATGTAGGAACTTCTGATATGAGGTATTATATATTTTTGAAATCGGAGTGAAAAACTCTATCTATCTGCGAAAAATCCAATAAGGCGTCCATAAAGAAAAATAAAGTTGATGCTGGAGGACACGAGACGAAACGTCATATTGAAATTCTAATTATCCCATCTTGTAGAGGAGAAAAAATGGCATTTTGTTAGTTACCTAAATAAGCAACGTTGCACCCTTTTATGCGACTTCGTACTTACCGTTTCCCAGATCATAATGGTGAGGGTCGAATTTGAAACACCGCGGTATACAGGGTGATTCACAAGTCGTGACCAAAAATGAAACATCATACAGAGGACCGCATTTTAAGGAGGTCTTCTATGTAACATTTTTCCTTCTAGCGCTTCATTGAAAAGATATAGGGTGATGTTTAAAAATAAATAACATTTTTTTAAAATCGTCAAAACCGTCACTTTAATGAACTAAAACTTGGTTTGTGGATTTACCCTAGTATTGTTCACATTCTAAAGTCTCTATTAAAAATTGATATGCACCAGTGGCGAAGATACACGGGATTAGTGGCTTTATTTTTCCAAACAAAAATAGTACGCGACTGGTTTTTTTTTTTCGAAACGCACAATTTTCCGAATTTCACCTTCAATTTGCTACAAATAGTTACTCTTGTTTTTTTCCTAGAGTGTATTGTTTCCGCAAAAATAAAAAAAAAGAAATTAGATAAACAAAGCTTAATTCGATACATCTTCAAAAAGACCACCATTCTGACGGATACAAGTGCGGCATCTTTTTAATAAAGAAAAACGTATTTCCGCAAAATTTGTTGTGGCTTGAATTTGATGAAACGCATTATCTAACATAATATTCTTTCTTGTAACTGATCAACAGTATTAATTTGTTCAGCATACACTAGTTGTTTAAAAGCGCCCCACAAAAATAAATCCAGGGGATCAAATCTGGAGACCTCGCCGGCCAATGTACGGGTTCGTTTCTGCCAATCCATCGTTGTCTAAAATGATTATTTAACCATGCGGTTATGTCACGATACATGCGGTGGGGCACCGTCGTACTGTTACCACATCCGTACTCTCGTTGCTAACGGAATCATTCAACACATTTGCTACGTAATATTCTAGAAAAGCTAAGTATGAGTTTGTATTTAAACGTTGTGGCAATATATGCATAAACAGTTGGCAATTGCTGCACCAGACATTTCCAGAAAATCTGTGTTGAAACGAGTGGATTCTTACAGAACAGGGATTTTCTAACGACCAAATAATATGTTCATTATAAGAATTAAAGGTTTCACTCCTCGTAAAAATCGATTCATTCGACCACAAAACCAAATCAATAAAATTGCATTTTGATTATGCATTACAGTACAGTAACCACTCACAATAATTTCGCCGTTGCACTTTGTCGGCGGGTTGCATACATTGCACATTTTGCTTGTAGTAAGGATGTAAAACGTTCCGATTTAAAATTCTCGACGGAAGACTTTGGGAACATGGTAACTGGGCTGCAATCCGCCTATTGTACTAGGATCATCCAACGCCAAATTCATCACATCCAGTTCCTCTTGAACAGTATGCCGGACACCATGGCCTCTAATCCGGGAAGTTTGACAATTCCATATTGCCGAAGTCTTAGAAATGAACGCGTAAAAACCTTTGAGGTAGGTTGGCGTCTGTTAGGAAATCTACTTTGATACTCCCGAGAAGCCGCTAAAGCATTTCCATTACAGTACACAAAAATAATATCGTGGTACTCATCATTGCTAAATTCCAATTCACAGCACTCTAAAATGGAAAAAGTAACTTTTGACTTGACTTTAAAAAAAAAACAATGGTAGTAACGATAACAAGCTTATAACACATAACTTTGACAAAAAAATTACAATGCACAGCCCTCTCCATATAACCTGGTTTCTGAATTTACAAAGTTGGCATGGTTATGCTTTCATCAAGTAAAGGATATTTTTTAGTAGTTGAAAAGCTGTCGTTAATTCCACAAGTTTATCGCTAGAAACTATTTTGGAAAATTGATATACACTCACAATAATAAATTATGAATATTCATTTTTTGAGTGTGAATACGGGAATAAATTCTCTTATTACCTTCACCTCTTTAGAAAGTATAAAATTGTTTATCAGACCGCGTCAAAGGTACCAATCGTTCTCACTGGTTTTATTCTTTACATTATACCATGCATTATACAAGGTCTGTCGCAAAGTAAACAGGACTTTGTAAAGGCAACCTACACAAGTAGCGCCATCTAGTTCCGGATACTAGCTTTGGATAGGTACATCTTTCATTGATGCGCTGTCAAAATTTCATGTCAATCAAACCACTTCACGTGGAGTTACTGCTTCAAAGAGATAGTACCTCTTTATCATCGGTCGAAAAATGAGCATCGAACAAAGAGCCAATATTAAGTTCTGTGTTAAACTTGGTAAAAAATTTACCGAAACGCATCAGATGTTGATGCAAGTGTATGGTGGTAATTGTTTATCTCGTAGCCGAGTCCACGAGTGGTTTACACGGTTCAAAGAGGGTCATGAGTCGCTGGAAGACGACGAAAATGTTCGCCCGCCAAAATTTGTGATCACGTAAGAAACCGTAGAAAAAGTACGTTATTGAGACTGGTGACGAAACGTGGTGTTTTCAAAGCGATACCGAAACCAAGCGTCAAAGTGTCGAATGGAAGCACCCAAGCGAGCCAAATCCGAAAATAAGCCGTTTGGAAAAGTCCAAAGTGAAGACAATGTTTATTTGTTCCTACGATTCGAAGGGAATTATTCATAAAGAATTCGTTCCATCAGGCCAAACGGTTAATGCTGTGTTTTATCTTGGTGTTGAGAGCCGTTTGCTGTCGCGTATCCGTCATGTTTGACCAGAATATCGCGAAGAAGGAAGCTGGCGATTGTTGCTCGATAATGCACCATCTCATCGATCGACGCTTTTGTGTTTGTTTTTACAAAAAATGGCATTTTAACTATCAACCACTCCCCTTATTCTTCTGATATGGCACCGTGTGACTATTTTGTGTTCGTTAAACTACATTTGGACATGAAGAACAGCGGTATGCCGACGTAAAGGACATACAAAAGGCGTCGACGACCATTTTGAAGGACATCCCAGTCAATGAGCTGAAATCATCATTCGAAAATCTTTTGGTCCGTGCCAATCGTTATAATAAGGAGACTATTTTGGATAAAATAAATTCGATTTTTCCGAAACAAAAGAGTAATTTTATATCACTAATTTATTTAGACTTGCTATTCAAACCCAATTTCCTAAATTCTTTCTGTCATCTAAAATGTACGGTAAATATGGGAGTAATACTCTTCAACTTTTTAGACAGTTGATATTATCCATTAGACCGCGGCTATACTTCTATACTATCAGTACTTACAGGCCAAATGGCTTAATGGATTTTTACATATGAGGTATCGCTGGATTTGTATTAGCTGTGAGTGATACTAGCTGCATTGAGATTTTATAAAAACAAAATTGCGGACCTTAATAGTAAAAATAAACCTTGAAAATCCTATCCGAGGGGAGGGGGGGGGGGCTGGACGTCCAAGTCTGCCATTTCAAGATGGTCTATATTATTGCTGTATCGTAGTGTAAAAATTAACTGGCTAGATCTGAATCGTCAGACCCTCTCCCCTTGACGTATGCCACATCCCTCTGTTCAACTGCCGTAAGGGCATTTGCTCTCAGATACGTTACTTAAGTGTTTAAGCTTGCCCCGCGCGAGACGAACTTCTTCCTGAACATGAATAATATGACCACCGCTGCGCATCCTGGACAAATTCCTACATTCATTCTTGTTCCTTTTTCATAGGCTACAGCTTGAACGGCTGCTTGGACGATTTTGACATAATATAGAGGTGTTGTCGGATTGGCCTTCGGGCGTAGTCGTTCCTACATTTGTATTACGCCTTTATGATATCTTTGATTTTAATAGTATTTTCTCCCCTTCAGCGTCGCACTCTCCTTTTTGAATCATAAAAAATTTCGGGCTTATAGATGATAAAAATAAAATTTAGTCAGCCTGAAATTACTTGCAATTTAAAAAGGAAATAAACTCTCAAAATAGAGAGCTGACACGAAACACTAGAAATACCCATGCATTTCTGAAGGACAGCAAAAACTATGAAAAGCAAGAGCATAAACGGATCCTACAATATATACTAATATATAACGACTGACGATACGGTCCTTAGCAGTGCGACTGACGCTGGCTATATTAAAATTTTACAAACACGAAATGACGGATTTTCATAATAATAAAGTCCAACCTTAAAATTACTATTTCACGGGCAGCAGCTTAAACGGCTTGATCGATTTTGACATAAGGGGTGTATCTAGTTTGTCTTGTCAGTGCGAGAGACACTGGGTATACTATTTTTTTTAAATGGCTTACTTTATTATTTGCATTAACATTTTGGTTCAGTAAGACTATTAATTTTATAACATTAAATTTCCGCTTCAGTAGGCTTCTTGGTACTCAAACTCCTCTCTCATTTTATCTTGTTTTCTGAAACTACACGCCAAACAGCAAGCAGCTATAACCGCTAAAGTCATCATTGTCCCGATTACACAGTAAAAAATCCCGAAAATTACAGAATTCTTCCTTAGTAATTCGTGGAAGAGGTACAAGCATCCTTCTGCATACACATTATTTTTTTTATCTCTACATGAAAAGGGTAAAGATTGGTTTAGATTGGCCCAATCATTTGGCCCATCGATTCCACAACACTTGTTGTCTCTTTGTACCTGGTCGACGAAATTCTTATTATTGCAATCTTTATATTTCTCAACTTTCTCCGTGAGTGCGCCCCTTGTAACGTTAAAGTCACCGTGTTGATTCATAGTCACAAATGCGTTGGAAAATTGAGCTACCGCTAGAACAATGAGTAAAATGGCATAAATGTGCAATAATTTTGGTTTCTTGAAAAGGCATCCGATATCACCTACTCCTGCTAAAATTATTATAATCATTCCATTTACAATTAGAACGGCATTATTTGTTGTACCAGAATTGTAACTTGACTTTTCATTAAGGGATCTGCCTCCTAATATGACACATGTGACTCCAATACAGATGAGGATAATGTTCATCAGTTCTAGCAGCCATTTCGTGATGCCTTGTTCACAAATTTTAGTCAATATATCTGTTCTCTTGTACATTATTTTGGTCGCAGTTTTTAGTTTACTTACCACGCGACGTTTTTAAATATTTCAAACGTCATTATGTGACAGTTTGTCTTCAACCTCTGACAGCAGCCTACTAGATTTTATCAAGAAAAATAGCGTGAAATTTTCAGTTTGCATTAATTTTACTTCATGTAACAACGGGGCGAGGCAGTATTGTGAATCGCGAAAAATTTCGAAAATGAGACGTTTTTTGGATGTTATATAACATGTACGATGTAAACACGAAAAACCGTTTCAGTCGACCTGTCTGTCCGCTAATCCTTGGCTCGTCTATAATTTGAGAAGTACCAGTGACGGCGGAGAAACAACGCAAAAACTAAAAAAGAAAAAATAAAATAAAAATAGCTCGAACTTTTTTTACATTCCAGAGTCCTGATTATTTTCAGAAAAATTTTGTAGGGTTTGAAATTCGGAGTTGGAGTTTATAGGGGGTGGGGGAGGGTATATGGAAAGTTTCTGATCACAGAACTCCCATTACATTTGCCTTTAAAACTTAAAAGGGTAGATGTTTTCGATTCGCGTATATTCCTGCTATCCGAGTTCACCGCCTGGCGAACCGGTCCGGCTGACTAATATATCCGTCCTGCAGCTGCAGCGCAAAAACATACATACGTAATCATTCAAGATAACTCGCTGCAGGGATGCTGCGCAGATGTGGCAAGGGACAGTAACTACCGGTAGGACCGGGAAAGACTATCTATGGACTAATTGTATGGGCCTGTTTGACTAACCTAATCCATTTAATTTCTGCCTTGCACATGTTGGTAACTGACTCTTTCTTCAGATGATTTAAATTGCGCTGTACGACTATACTTAATCCTTTACCAACTGATGGCGTTGCTTGGAAAGTAGAGTCAACCTACTTGACCCATTTTTTCAAACATGAAAAGTTTACGTTATTGCAGATATCGTATTTAATAGGGCTGATCACAAACTATATTTTTAGCGCTCTAGATCGGTGTAGCAAAAATGCTCGGAACGTATGCATGTTTCACGTTTAGAGCGTAATCAAAAATATTTTTTAGGAGAATTATTTTGAAATCTAGTATCTGTGCAACAAACATAGCCATTTGAAATTAAGATTTTGGATATGACGTGCATTACAAAAATATCACTCATTTCCGTTGGTTCCATATTGTTTGGCGCTCTCACTATAATTCGGTAATGGTAATCCCCATGTTACACATAATGACTACTATGCCAAGGACGATTAAGCTTTGTGGATTTTGATAATCGATAATGGGCAAACAACGTCCTAAATTGTTTTTCCCCGATTATTTATGGCACGTCAAAAAAATTTGGAGTCAACATTTTTAACGAATCTCAAAATTTATTTTTCGACTGCTTCAGGACATGATCAAAATTTTCAAAAACATCTTTAGAAATTAAAAAAAATTTTGACAGAAAATATGTTCAAAAATTACAACTGCATGGAAAGTGCTGAGACAAGCTTAGCATTTTTCGAATGTGATGTTCCCAGGAAAGTTTCTGACGACGCCGATTGGTAAAATAATTAATTTGAGGTTAGAATAAATTTGAATTTCACACATACCTTTCTCTTTTGTTAATGAACTAAATAGCTATGGGATCATTACTGGGCTGATTTCCAAAAACTACAAAGCCGTATTGTCCTTGAAATAGTAACCTTCGGTACAAATTCCAAATCCGAACAAATACTTCTCAAATTATAGGCAGACCAAGAATTTGCTGAAAACCCAGCGGAAATGAGCGACATGTCTGCATGTCATATAAAATCCAATTGGAAATTTTTCGCGATTACAATAATTCCTCGCCAGTCGATGCGGTAAGTAAAACATGCAAGTTATCCCGTAACTATTGAACTTTTAGTGCCATAAACAGAATTTCTTTTAGTCACTACAGAGAAATGTCTGTTTGAAAATTTAACCTCAAATAGCTTACTTGACCAACCAGCGTCGTCAGTCGTACCTAACCTTACTTCACGAGTATCCATCATGGTAGAATGACAGCTGGTTCACCATATCGGCACAGGACATAATAGACAGCCGAATTTTGTTGTTTTTTGTACACTAGATTCATTTGGTACTTGCTAGCTCTTTTTTTTTAGTAAAGTTCAGTTGCATATAAAACACTAAACGCCACAAACAAGTTTTCCTAACTTTATACACGATTTATACATTATTGCTAACGTTGCAGACCAACACCAAAAAGGTCACATGCTGACCAGCTATTCACCTCAATAGACGTCAAAGCGTTATGGGTACTTAGGTATATGATGTAGAAATTAATATTACCTAGAATTGTGAAATTTGATTTCTTTAGGTGCCACTTCAATGTCTCTTCAAGTAAGAGGAAATAAAACTTAATAAGACAAAGTTACATTTACGAATTAATTTATTCTTAATTGTTATTACACTGTCAAAGGTTAATGCTCTAATCACAGAAATTGCATATTTAAAATCCATTTTCAATAAGAGGACGACTATGATTGTGTAATTATACATATAACACATACGGAAAATCAATTATTCAACCTGCACATTACACTTCTTCCACAGTTTATTCAGCAGGAATGCCTCTGAAGAATTATATAAGAATAATTACAATAAATACTGAAAATCAAGATTCGTGCTCCGTGGCTCTTCAATAACCTGGAACAAAAAAAAAGAATATATGATCAAAGTCCAATAGATCAATGGAAAGGAACATACAAGCGGGGGTTTCGGCAATTAACTCAAATTTCAAGGTGACCACACATACAAACGTTTGCATTAAAATATTTTAGAACATATGCATTTTAAACTTTCATCATTTCCTTTTTTATTTTAGAACAAAATTCATCCATTTACGGGATCGCTCCATTTTCTACAACTTTCTATTCGTTTAAAGTAATAAAGGAATAAACTAGCACGCCTCAAAGTGTGATTATAATCCAGTTAAATAGCCGAAACTGATGCAAAAGTGATAACATAGCAAAAAAGTTATTACCGCTTGTGTAATAGTGTAATAAAGGATTGCGACCGAAAAACCCAAAACACCTCTTTTTCGCTGAAACGGCTGATGATATCTGGGATTTCTTTACACGTAAATTTTTCTAATTTTTGGGCCATCAAAACAAGAATTTCCAATTTTTTTGCTCAAAAGCGTAGTTTTTACTCAACAGATTGCTTATGGTTTGATGGTGAGGGGCTTGCGGGGAAAGTGCGCATGCACCTGCATACCACCAAACTGCTGCCGCACTCGTCCACCAGGGTTGCCAGGCTTTCAGTCACGTTGGTCGCAAAGTTTTGAAGGGAAAATCGCTAGTAAATCGCCAATCTTTGAAATAACTGAGTCAACCATAAAACGTCAGGTTAGAGATTGGATAGAATTTGTGGGAGGGGGGTAGTAGCCTGGCTGTTAACTGAAGAGCGGAGGTGAGGGAAGTTAGGCATAATAATAATAATAATAATAATAATATATGATAAACAATTCCTTGAAAAGGGGGAGGGGGAGGATGAGGGGTTGTTAAGACACGTGTAATCTGAACGAAACTGTAAGTTCATTCCATGGGGCGGATCCATTGTGCTTAGAGCACAGAACTTCCGCTGGTCCTCGTTTTATGTTCCATTAATCTATAAAATTATTTTTACAATGCTATACCTCGATCCACAAAATTACTATCAGATGATGAATTTCAAAGACAAATGAAGAAATTTATTTTGAATACATAGAAGTATATAAATTAGTTGATAAAATTTATCTGTCACCTCACACAAAAATATTTCCAACATAGCATTCCTATGTTTGTATAACTTACAATTTTATACGTTCAACTCATGAAGTATTGAATAGCCTTCACTTATATAATATTATACAATTTTTCATGCACCTACATTTTTAAACTTGTAATCTATAAAATATATTTATATTTTTTTGTATTGTTTTTCAGTTTTTCTTTTCTTTTTTTTGAGGGGGGGGGGTTAAGTGGTAGAGTAGCATTATGCTAAACTTCGCCCCCTAAATAAAGACGATTTATTATTATTATATCGGCAAAAATGGATTACAAATTAAGTGGCGTCAGGAATGCTAAAAATCGCCAGATATCGCCAATTTGCTGGATACTGGGCGCCACTAAAGTAGAAAATCGCCAAGCTATCATTTTAGTCGCCATTTGAAGTTGTCAAATCGCTACTTTGGCGAAAAATCGACACGCCTGGCAGCCCTGCCGTCCATGCGTTGACGACCCAGATGGACGGTCTCTTACTACATGGTGGGGGTTATTCAGTAATAGCCCAGTTGAATTTTGAACCCTGAGCGCGCTTGTCAGTTTGGCGTTCACCGACTTTTCCAAATGAACTAATTTTCAAAGTTTATGCGTTTAAGTGGAGTAATTTCTCTTCAGTTGCTTGTCGATTGACTGGAGAAGTGAGGTAAGTGTGTGTACATTTCAGAATTGAAATTAAAATATTTTTTCCTATATTTCATTGGAGACAAGAAATTATGGACAAACCATTTATCGGAAGATGCATCAATTTTGTGTATTTTCTATTTTGATGCGATCAAGTTGAAATTTGAGTTATCTTCAGGTACAACAATCCCAGCAGTCTAACTAATGATATCAAAAATGACTGCCATTAAAGTAGCAAAAGCCAGTGTTCAAACCTCCCTTATGCAAGATGAACTGCATTTTCATCACAACTGAAATGGAAGATTTCTGATCATCTTGCACAATTCCGACACCAGAAAAATAATAATTTCATAATCCTGGCTCTAATATGTGCTAAACACTAAGTGAAAATGAGTACACACTTTAGAATGCTAAATGTATTTTTTCATCAAACAATCTAAAACAGTTTCGTTTAAACTTGTTGAAACAATTTTTTCTTTTGCAACTGAAAATGCAACAAATGCAAAAATATAAACTGATGGAAATTATATTAATTGTCAGGCCCATTGCTCAATTATGAAATTCCAATTTTAATAGCATGCTATTCCACAGCTACCAAACACAATTTGACAAACAAACCAGCCTGTTTGATTTAGCAATACAATATTAATTTGTATTTTCATATTTCTTAGAATCCGTTCGTTCTACTAAACAATGTTAAAATCCCAAATGCATGCCCTTTTGGGATGTAACTACAGAGTTATCGATTCGGTTATCATGCGCTAGTCCTCAAATTAGTGCCGAATCAGCTGAAGATTTCAAAAATGTTAAACAATTTTTTACCTTCAAACTGACAATTCTCTTTTAATACTGGACTGATATGTGTAATCTTCTGCGTAGGTGTCTAAACACTAATCAGCTAGGTTTTCAACTTACAGGTTTTATGAATAACTTTTATACTCATCGACCTTAAGTGAATTTCGATCATTGAAACTAATTTTTATGTGGCAGACATTTTGAGCATTTACTTCAAGTAAACTGTTAGTCTAATATATACTAAATAAATAGCTGCTCGAATTTATTATGACAACTTACAGCCAATTTTAAATGCACACTACAATGTGGTCGAACTCCTATAACTCGAATTTCTATAACTCAAACACCTCTAGAACTTTCAAAGAATGCGATTAAAGTTGAGCTTTGACGTCTTATCGTGACGTGGCGGCACGGCCCACTTTGAAATAGATTCGATGAATTTCTTCGAGTGTAAGCGGCGATTGTGTCATATTATGGGATTCCCCTAAGCAAGTGTAAAATACCGAGAATAAAATTTCAAAGTAAAAAGCGTGTTTAGTTGAAAAAATGTCGCCGCCGCGAAAACTTAAGACGTTAACGATCGGGAAGAAAATTGAAATTTTAAAAAAAGTGGAGAATGGTGTTCATAGAAAGATTATGTGCCAAGAATATGGCATTCTAAAAAGTATATTATCCACTATAATGAAAAACAAAAAGACTAGTGCAGTTTGGTCCCGTAGTAGCTAACCCAGGTGAAGTGAAGCGAAACAAGCCTGCATTAATTAATTAGTTTGAAACTTTATTACAAAAAAGCATGTGGTGAAAGTGCTGCCGTGGACCAAAAAAAGTGATGTAACTGGATCAAAGATACCCTTCCGGCTCTTTTAGCCCCCTACAAAACAAACGATATTTTTAACGCAGATGAGACTAGTTTGTTTTTTAAATGTTTACCAGACAAAACCTTAACATTCAAATCTGAAAAATGTCATGGAGGAAAGTTGTCTAAGGAAAGGGTGAGCCTTTTATAAACAACAAATATGAGTGGCACTGGAAAACTAAAACTTGTCATAATAGGAAAAAGCGTAAAACCACGATGCTTTCGAGGAGTAAAAAATTTACCGCTGACTTACTACAACAATAAAAAGGCATGGATGACTAATGACATTTTTTCAAAGTGGCTGTTGGACCAGGACAAACAGTTTCTACTTCAAAACTGCAAGGTTTAGTTTCTGATTCGACAACTGCCCTGCGCATCCTTGCATTATAAAAAGTTTTAAATTTCATTATAAATGTAGAATCATGGAAAAAATACTAGTCGGATTTGAAACCAATGCCACAATCCCTAAAATTGATTGATTATTTCGGCAACAGTATGGGAGGTAGATGTAACCCAAGCAACTATTCAAAACTGCTTCAGAAAATCTGGGATTGGAACACACACCTATTATGACTTAGAAGATGAAATGTCTCTGTCAGAATTAAGAAAAATAATTATCAATGAATGGCAGTAGCCCTAAATGTCCAAAAGTCCATTCATATATGCTTATAAATTTTGAATGCTAATGATAAGGTCTCTTTGGATGAATTTGAAAATGTAGACGAGGATGTAATATCAAGTGAAATTCCTATAGAGGATGAAAGTGTAAGCAATAAACAGGATGACTTGGAGGATGAACTGGAGAACAGATCTGATGATGAAAACCACAGTGAAGGAACTCCAAGAGAGAAGCCTTCTGACACTGAAGTTTTAAAGGCAACTGAAACCATCCAGCTTGCCTTTTCAATGAATAAGCCTGTAACTAATGACCCCTTTAATTTAATCTGCCAAATTAGGCAAAAATATGAGTCTGACCGCAAAAACAAAAATAATCAGTCAAAGTTTAATAACTAATCATTTTTAAAGTGCTTTTAGTACATACATTTCCAGTTAGTAGAGACTTTTTTCTTAGTTTAACGCTTTTTACTATGTAGTTTAGTTTTTTAATACATATGCTATTATGTATGTATAATAATAAAAAATATGTTTTGGATTATGTATGAACATATTATGTATGTCGGTACATACATACAATGTGGTTTTTCCCTAACTGGAACTCTCTATAATTGGAACTTTTTTGGCTGTGTTTTCAAATTCGAGTTCAACTTTATTCAATACAGGAGTTATCTCATTTTTTTGAGGTTGTCATTGTAGTTCAATCGTATCGTTTTTTGCACAGTCTATTGCTAGAATCTGAATATTCCACTTTTATGAAAGAATGAAGTGGATGTTTACTTTTATTCTCATTACTTTTTCTCTTCGAAAAATCATTGCTCTTCTTGAAAACTCTATTTGCGCAGACTAAGCTTTCAAGAAAATCAAAGATTTTTGAAAGAGAAAAAGCGTTCACACCTGTACTAATTCATACTACAGAGTACAAAGTTACCATTGAAAAAAATGCATTTTTTGACAAAAAAAATTGAAAACAATTTTTAGTTATCTCTATAAACACCATCAAATAATAAGATGAAAAAGAGTTAGGATACAAAAGGCGAGTCTTCTCTCAGGGCAAAGTAGATAAACCACAATAAAGTCTAAAATAATAGCAGAAGATTAACACAAATGCTGTATAATGTCACGTGCACAAACACGGTAAAAATTATGAATTTTCTGATGCATCAGCTAATTCGATTACACTACATGTCTAGCACAAACTGGACTAATTAAAGCTAACACCTCATGATACTATACCATTCTGATGAATCATACATTTAGCTAACCTATCAGTGCTTTATCCCAGCTGCCTGCTTATTTTTTATCCTGAATGATCTATTCTTTACCTCCTCCTCCTGCACCACCTCTACCGCCACCGTATCCATTCGATTGCCTGAAACCTCCTCCACCGGCGCCACTGGCTCCTCCACCGCCTCCTCCAACTGGAGGACCGAAGCGCGAGCTCGGCCTCGAAGAACTTTGGTCGCGAGAGCGGAATCCACCGCCACCGGCTGTGAAGAAAAAGGTGTTAAGTAGATTGACTCAAGACTTCCCATTCAATAATGGATTTAGAAATGGTCATAGTTTCTTGGACAGTAATAGTTACAGCTATCCTTCTTTCTCTTCCTGTTTTAGAAGGAGCAATTACCAACATTCATTTTGATTTTTTGGTCATCGCAAAGTTTGCATTCTAATTTTACCTGAATTTGGAGTAATATTTTATATTAGAGAAGAAAGAGGAAAAAAAGGAGCTTTTGATACCATAGAAATAATTTATGCTACGTCTCCAGATGATTAGCTACTTTCCATGATACTCAAATTTTATATAGACTTTATATTTCTATGCCATTACATTTACTTTCTGATTACAATTACAAATTATATAATTGATGAAATTTAACAGAAATAGTTATTTTTTCCCTTTGTCAAAGAGAAAGATTTAGAACAGATCGACTGGTTCGATAATCAACTATTAATCATAAAAAACTGATTTTGTACCTTTCACCTCTTACATAATCTACTGCTATATAATCAGCTTAATATAAAGAAAACAAATCTTACTACAAAAATTATTCATAAAAATAATGCATAACGAACCTTTATTATATCTCTTCAAAATGCTGTTTATATATGGTAAACAAAACTTTTGAACAACCATTTATACTAATACCATAGCTAACCAACATATATTAGAAAAAACCGAATATATCATTATAAAAATAGGTTTACACGAGTGGCTATTGATATAAGCATCATGTAACTTCTGAAAACTCTAGCATATGAATATCTTTTCCGCATTACTGATCTATGATACAAAATTAATGTATTAGATTTATATTTATTGTAACTACTGTGTTAGAATGATATCCACACAAAAGGATATTTTCCTTTAGCGGCATATCAATTTATTTGTCAGGATTCACAATACTACAAAATTAAGTCTCCAAACACATTACTAACCTCCTCCTCTACTGCCACCGCCGCCTCCACGGCCTCCACCACCACTTCCTCCTCTACCTCCTCCCATGCCGCCACCACTTCTCCTGTCACCACCGCGACCTCCGCTGCCGCCTCCTCCTCCAAATCTACCGCCTCCACCGCCGCCACCGAAACCGCGACCGCCTCCTTTGCCAAAGGCATGCGGTCTGTTCGCTATTTCGGCTAATTTTGGATTTACCACCTGTAACAAATAAGGACATATAAAAGTTGAGTATTTTTTTTTGAAATTGAAAAAAATCTCGTACTGGTGAGAATCAAACTCTGCAAGTAAACGCACGAATAAAGTAAAATAAAACAAACCTATATTTAATTATTATAATCGCAGATCAGTTGTTGTAAAAGTTACAAAAAAATACGTAAAAAATAACGAGAAACAGCATTATGATAAAGAACTGCAGGTATCCAGCCTCTGATATAGTGTTTTAAACTACCTGTCTCTATATTAAATAACCTCCCATTTAAAAATATTCTCATTGTTAATCAATTTTTTTGTGTTTGGCAGGCAGTTGAATAATTTTAGACATGCGTAATACATTTAAAGTTAGTCTATATCTGGGTAATTAACATTTAAATTTCTTGTGTTGTAGGTATGGTACATTTGTAGGTCAAAGATATCTTTGTTCTCAAAAAAGATAAATCAAAGATTCTTATATGAATAGTCCATGTACAAGAGGCAATTGGATCTAAAAATACCTTTTCAACTATGTTTATCCCCTATATTCTTAACTATTCTAAGCAACTGTTTTTGTATAATAAAGATTCTATTACTACCCCAGAAAATAAGTCCATACCTAAGCACTGATTCAAAGTTTGCATAATATATAACTTTTTTCATTCATATACCTCGCAACTACCCGGCTTCCATAACAAATTGAACTTTTATCTTTAACATACCTCAGAGATGTGATGTGACCAGACCAAGAATTCATCTAAATGAACACTAAGAAATTTTGTATTGTATACTGATTGAAACTTTGAGTAACTGACCGGAGCTGGTTTTACAACTCTATTTTGTCTCGTTCTGAACATTAATTAGATTCATTAAGTAGTGACCTGTTATCTGAAAACCACGTTTTTACTCTCGAAAAAAGGCTTGCTCTCGATCGAGCAAGATCCTCAATAATCCTTTCCCCTGTCATTTAATTAGCATCGTCAGCAAAACAAGTCATAGTAGCCGCCAGCAGCACGTATGTTGATTTATTTGTTCAATTGTATTGACAGCGCAAAGTGCGGACAATGGCATTGTGGTCAAGTGACATAAGGGCAGTTTTACGGTATAACTTTACGCGTGGTTTAAGAATAAACCAGTGCTTAGACGAAATTATGCTTGCATTGAAGAATGATTGTCCTCATCGTACGACTATATTCAGGTGGTAAAGAGAGTTCCAAAGGGATAATTTCACTCTGCAGGACGCCGAGAGGGAAGGAAGGCCGCGAACGTCAGTAACAGAGGATAACATTATTGCTGAGAGGAAAATGCTTGATGAAGACCGGAGAGTGACATACCAACAGATAGAGGAGACCTTAAACCTTCATGTACCAGCAATTCATTCAATTCTGCAAGACCACATAAGGTAACTTTGTTCTTTTTGGGTAGCGCATAGTCTGACGGAAGAGCACGATTTGGTGGCGAAAGATGCTAAAAAGGTTTGATAAGGAAGAATCTCAGTATGTGAACAACATCGTGACAGGTGATGAAACTTGGCTCTATTATTACGATGTGGCGACAAAGGCTCAAAACAAAGTTTAAGTCTTTGATGATGAGGACACACCCATAGTTGTCAGAAAATCCCGATCTGTTAAAAAAAATGTTAGATCTATTTGTCAAATCGAGCGGGATTGTGGACTGTCGTTTTGGACACACAGAAGACAGTCACAGCTAAGTGGTACACGGAACAGGGCCTGCCTAAAGTCATACCGTCTATGGAAAACCTGCGACCAAAGTGAAGAATGGACACTTGGTACGTCCACCATGACAACGCTCCAGCTCGCCGCTCAGTCTTTAATCGAGTATTTGTGGAACTTGGCATAGCTGACATAAGGACTGGTTTTGGCGGATGGAGAAGTGTATTGAATGCGGCGGAAAATTCTTTGAACGAAGTCAATAAATAAAGGTGTATTGCAAAACTTTTATAGAACCCTTTGTATGTTGAATAATAAAGGGATTAGTAAACTACCCTGACCAAGTACATTTTTGTTTTCCTGAAGACTTGAAATATGTATACCATTCTTGCTTATTTTGACTTTCTGTTGCTTATTTGCTAAATCCCAATACAACGCACTATCCCGATTCGACAATAGCCTCAGCAGTACCAGAGACGTGTGAATCGAGAGGCGGTATTAAAATCTGTTTTGGCTATACAGAGCGGCGCCAGGGATGACATATTTGTTGTCATACTGATACAGGACTGGCTCAGGTTCACATTCTGTAAACATCAGCAAATGAAGCTCTGCATCGTGTATTTACAATATAGTAACCAGTGAAACGTTATCTCCGATGATTTCTTGACAATCACAATGAATCAAAGCATATCATTAGGGCACAAAACACCATGTCTTATTTACAAAGGCACACAAAAAATAGCTATGAAAGTAGTGTATGAACAATATTTCCAGAAAAACCTGTGCCAAACATAAACGCAGGCCATTTTGACAGATTAGTACAATGAAAATCATGGCCTGAACCCGTAACCAGACATGCTCCAGGGATTTTGAATCAATGCAGTTGAACGAATAGGTATTTTACATAATCGAAAAAGAGAAGGCTATTCAGACATCCAGAATTTCGCTACAAAAACCCGAGACAGCCGTTTCTCTATTTTTCCGCACGTAACTAATAATTTCTATTGAAAAGTGAGTTATCAAATTTTAGGTTGTTCTAGTTTCACCAAAATTACGGTAGCAACTAATAACGCACATATTCAACTGTTCTATTTTTTTAGAGATTTATTTACATTTTTTTAATGCAATGCGGATGACAATCTTTTTTGTCCTTGGCGTAACAATCATGTGCAGAAATTTCATTAATATCCGAGCGTGACTTTCAAGTTATAGAATATAGAGGATCCAGGATTACCAATGAAGTGAGGCCTTTTTGTGAATGCCGCAAAAAACCTAAGATCTCGATTTGCGTAGAAATGGACTTTTCAACTATTAAAGATGAACTTTCAAGGACAATTAGAGGTTTATTAATTTTTCCTTACCTGGTTGGCTTCACTCAGGACTGAAATCAAATCTCTAGCTTGCCTCGAATTGGACGGCGTAAAGAATGCATATGAGGTGCCGGTAGACTCGGACCTAGCAGTTCTACCGATTCTATGTATGTAATCCTCAGACGAATTCGGATAATCATAGTTGACTACATACTTAATACCTTCCACGTCTGAACATCACCGAAAACAGAAACAAAATTTTATATTAGAAACTGAAAACACTAGATGCGGATTACGTGTTAAAACATCGTTATATAATTTTGAAAGATATCTAAACTGTATTTTTATACAAGATTGCTAACATATGGTATTAAAATAATCTCTTGATAGATGCATGTCTGCAAATGAACTTTTTGAAAACTACAAAATACAGTGCAAAAAAATTGAGCACCAAACAAAAACAATACAAATTTTCGTCATTATCGCTGTAAATAAAAAAGTATAGACCAAGAAATCCAAAAATATGCATATCGTTTGACTATCAGTTAAACCTAAGGCAAATATTGACGGATCACAGTAAATACTGACATTAACTTAAAAAAATACTGATTCTGATAAACATTAAAATGACAACAGCATGGAAAAACAGACTGAATTGATAACAACAATCAAAGATGTGGGATAACTAGTGCAGCCCATTCGGAATTTATCCCTTGCAAACTGTATGTATGGAGTCAAAGAATATCCTTTTGGATTACTAACCAAAAGCAAAAGCAGCTGTTATCACAAACATGTTGACAACATACGATACCATCGCTATAAGCGAGAAATTGCTTAATCAAGTACAAATAAAGTAGTAAGGCGACGTGAAACAACTGCTGTAAATGTTCACACAAACCACTAATATAAAATGAATAAAAAAAAACGGGAGCAGAATACTAACCATGTGTAGGGTTATTTTTCTCTTAAGACAGATATCCAGGTGACGTCGAGAGCTGTATGTACAGTAATAGTTTATCGCTATAGTAGCAATGTGATAGTAAGGTATGAGTTTTTGTGTGGCTTCTGCAGCGTTTCTCGATATGCGTCAATTTCGGCATACGGCATTTTATTATATTGCATTTGAACACACTGCAGACTGGACCGACAGGAAGACCTTCACTTTCTATGGCACCACCTTCTCTCTGCAGCTCGGCACAGCTCAAGGTTATGTTAAGCGAGTTTTTGATCAAATCATCCCACGATGATGCTACTGAATGCATGTATAACACGCATAAGGCCGAGCTACATTTTTTTTTTTGGAGTCATGATACAAATGTAAGCTGAGGAAGTTTGCAAAAAATGTAACGGATATAAGGACAATCATATGACTGCAATAATGTCATCTGCAACCCTTGCTCCTGACATAAACATTTTTAATATTAATGAATGGTTGAGGCTATGGGTCGGGATAACCCAGGCAACAGGAATAGATATATACTGTTGAATGAATTCAAACTACTCCACTCCATCATTTGACCACTGCTCTGTTGAATTAATAGGCCCAGAGTATCAGAAAAACAGTACGGACCGAGACGTGAGCCAAGAAATTTACTTTGACAGTGGAATTTAAGATTACTATAGTTTTCATGTAACTTTCATTGAAGTGTTTGAATTTTACAGAATGAAGTGAGAGAATGACAGGGAGACTTAAGGATGGTAAAAAACAAAATAGGATATTGTAAAGAGTAAGAGAAGGACAACTTATTAAACAACATATGTTGTTTTATAGGAGTGCCAAGTTCTAATCTTCCATCATCGGTCTTCCACGAGAGGCACCGCAAGACACAGAATTGCATTCCAAGTCTTTTTTTTTGTTAAGAACACAACTAAGGCGTATCAGTAGCAAACTCGCAATCGTGTTTATACTACGTACGCTCATCCTGCATGTGCCTCTGAAACAGAAAAGGATACCCAGACTGATTAAAAGGTTTTTTCTCGACTATTAACAACTATTCAACATTGCTTATAATATGGATGATTCTGCTGCTCATTTTGTATTTGAAATTATTGCAAAAAAAATGCTACTCATATTTTTGCCAGAAAACACATTTCAAGAGTTATATCAATGCAGCAAAATCTTCCATCAAATGTTCAATACATGAGTATTGAGTATTGGGAATAGTTAGGGCTGCAAAATATGAGATTTAAATGTAATATACGAGTCAACTACCATTTCTTATCAAATGACAAAAATATGCTAATGAACTCTTACAAAATCAATAACAATGTGTAGTCAACTTTAATCATATTGCAGCCTGTTTTGTCAATACGTTGAACGCGTCCTGAAAAAAGTAAATGCACGTCACAACTGCTCCTGCTATCTTCAAAAATAAACCAGTCTGGTTAATCCTGGGAGAATGCTACTATAGTTTCCACCGGGTTTTATCAGAACAAAACTTAGGAGGAAGGTTGAATTGAACAAATTATCAGTAATCTTAAAAATGGATGAGATTCTGATACAGACTAAAAATTCAAATCGCCATCAAAATCCCTCCCAAATTCGTCCATACGTCAATATTATAAATGTTTTTTTTTCTTGTATCCCGACATGGTATGATTCTTAGACATCCTTATCTAAAATCATTTCCTGAAGTTTTGTGAAAATTTACCTAATCCTCTTGCAGCAACATCTGTAGCCACTAGAATAGATGAATTGCCTGTCCTAAATTCACTTAGGACGTAATCTCTCTCTTGTTGGCTCTTATCACCATGCATGCACACTGCAGGCCAACCAAATCGTCTAATCGCCCTTGTAATCGCTTCGACCTTCTTTTTAGTTTCTACGAATATAATCACTTTGGAGCCTGCCTCTGCACTGTTGCCTATTTCATTCAGCAACTGGTTAAGTCTGCAAACAAAAAGATAACATAAGTGGTCATTCCCATTCAAAGCAACTGGTAACTACAACCCGACTTGACAGACGCATTCTGCCTATTCAAATACAAGCGTGCACAAGAAACGAAGGCAACGTGATCAGTTGCTAGTCATCTGAACATGTGGTTGTCATTGTAACACGTAGGTAGAATATGTTAATCAATGCCTAAAGATTCCAAATTAAAATAGGCATTAGAAAGGCCAAAATGGGAATGCAGAACCAAGCGCCATCTATGAAACAGTAGCAGAACCAAACCAAAGTACAACTTTTGATTCATTTTTGTGTTCTGCTATTCTCTCATATGGCACTAGTATCTTTCAGATCATTTTTTGGACAGATTTCACACATCACAGATGTCCCCATACTTTTACCTAAAAACTAAAAAATGTCACCTCTAGTCACAATGTGGTGTGCAATTTCTTCAGCTGTAATTATTGGTCATTGGTTCTTTCAGGAACATGCAGTTGCACAGAAAACTGATTTCGGACTGCTATGTAAATGTTACAGGAATATTTTTTCCCAGCTAGATGAGTTGGACTTAAGGGACCTTTGGTTTCAACAAGATAATCCAATAGTACACACTTCAAGAGCATTTATTGCTGTTTTGAGGGAACTCTGCCTAGAGCACCTCATCTTAATTAGAGAGGATTTCGAGTGGCCAGCCCACCCTCCCATTGTGATTTTTTTTCTATGAGGTTTGAAATCCCATGTTTATGTGAACCCTACAAGATTTGAAGACCAACATACTGAAATAAATTTCCAACATAATGTTGGTAAATGTGAAAAATGTTCCACACTTAGTCAGTATAGATCTGCAAAAGGCAAGAACTTACTTGTACTCTTTCTCATGCTCCTGACATACGTCAACAATCTGTAAAATATTATGATTGGCAGACAACTGCAGTGATCCAATATTGATGGTAATGTAGTCCTTCATAAAATCAGCTGCTAACTTCCTCACTTCTTTGGGCCAAGTAGCAGACCACATCAATGTCTGCCTGTCTGGTCTAATCTGTTCAATAATCTTCCTTATTTGAGGCTCAAAACCCATGTCAAGCATTCTATCAGCTTCATCCAATACGAGGTAGGTGCAACGTTCCAGGTTAGTTGTACCCTGAAACAAGAGAAAAGGTAAATATATGTAAAAAATAAAACGAAGGAAATATTCCTTTAAAGATCGCATGTATCTCACCTTCTCCAAGAAGTCAATCAACCTTCCTGGTGTGGCGATGCAGATTTCAACACCTCGCTCTAAATCTCTTGCTTGGGGTCCTTTAGGTGCTCCACCAAACACGCAGGTGTTCCTTACATATGTGGAGTGTCCAAACTCTGTAGCAACTTGTTGAATCTGCTGAGCTAACTCTCTTGTTGGGGCCAATACCAGTGCGATAGGGCCTTCACCTCTGTTTATAGGTGGTTGGTTGTTAATGTGCACTATAGCTGGCAAGATGTAGGCTAGAGTCTTTCCAGATCCAGTTTGGGCAATCCCTACCATGTCACGACCACTCAAGGCTGAAAAAAAGATACTAGGATGAGTAACTTATTGAATCTTATGTTTATCACTCTTTAATCAACAGACTATGGAATTTTCAGATTTGATCAAAATTCTAATATAAGTTTATTCTTACCAATTGGCCATCCCTGTGCCTGGATAGCTGTAGGCTGATCATAACCTTGCCTCTTGATTTCTTCCATCACATGGTCAGGAAAAGATGCCTCGTCAAAATTTTGGATGGGATTGGGAGCAGGTCCATCTACAGTAATCTCCTTTGCTTTGCGATACTGGTCAACTTCAAATGTAGATCGGTTTGCCACAGCCGGATGTGGTACATAGAAGTCCTAAAACAAAAGTGCAATAAAATTTTGACTGCTAATTAAGCTTCAGATTGACTAAAAGTCCTTGTAAAACCATTTGTCAAAGTTAGGTTAAGTGTAGGATTATTCTATGGCTTCAAATATGAACAAATTGATTTCATTTAACCATAATTGTCCATAACTCATAAGTGGAAATGTCATCCCATCACACACAATTTTCTTGTTAACCCCTAATTGAAACTTCAACAAATAAGTGCCAAAAACTGTGAAGGGCATTTGTCAGGCTAATCATACCTTTTTGAATGGTTGTAAGGTCTTGGTGCTCCACTGTGGTTTGTAGAGTCGGTCTCCTTGTCGGCCTCCACCTCTGCCTCCAAATCGACCTCCATCTCTGCCACCACCACCTCCTCCTCCTCCGAATCGACCACCTCCTCCACCACCGCCGCCTCCTCCGAATCTACTGCCACCACTGCCACCTCCTTTTCCATCACGGAATCCTGAAAATCGAATAAACTGAACTAACCCATAGATCAAGGAGATGAGAACAAAATTTCTCCCTACAAAGCATAAAGAGATAAGACTGATGTAGGATTTTCGCCGATACCGTTATATCAGAGGTTGTCCAATAAGTACACAACAAACTTAAGGAGAAGGTAGGCTTTGGACTGACCACCCAAATAACAAAAACTTACCTATATAAAAGTGTCACCGTTTTTGGGATATTAAATGTTTTCTTAATATTTAAAAAAAAAATACTTTTCATCTGTGATCTTTAGCAGCATGTACAAATAAGGTTATACTTTGTTTTTTTTTTCTATAAAATACTTCTAGATAGGTGCTTTATCATATACAAATGCAATATAGTTAAAAGATATTAAGGAACTATGATCAAATAAGGACTATTTTGGGATTTATAACCTGATATTTTTTCCTCAATTTTGACCATCTGTGGTGAAACAAAAATGTACTGGGCTATAACTGCACTATATTGAATAAAAAGATTGCTCATTGAATACAGATTTCAGAAAGGCACCACACATACCATTTGGAATAGAAAAAAGTGATAGTTGCTTGTGTAAGTGACTGACACACATTCCAATGTAATTATTGGATTTAAATTCAAGTTGCACTAGTTACCAATCAGTGACATGCTAAATAGTACAGAGCTACATTATTATTACCTGCTCCTGATATGATGTTATGAAAGTTGAGGAAGCAATATCAGAAGGTTATAAATCCCAAAACAGTCCTTATTTTATCATGGTTCTACATTGCATTTGAATATGATAAAGCAACTATCTAGAAGTATTTTATAGAAAAAAATGACAAAGTATAACCTTATTTGTACATGCAGCTAAAGACCACAGATGAAAAGGTTTGTTTTTTTTAAATTTAAGAAAGGATTCAATTTCTCAAAAACCGTGACACTTTTATATAGGTAAGTTTTTGTTATTTGGGAGGTGTTCCTTAATGATATGCGAATATTTACGGGTGTAAATCTACATGAAAAATAAATGTTAGTTTGCTTTATAAACTGTTGAAAAGTTTTAGTAAAAAAATGGAATTAATATTTTCAGAACCGCATCAGATATTTCACTGATATTTAGTATGTAGTTAATAGAGTTGCATATTTTTCAATGCAAAAATAATTTTTAACTTTAACAGTGGCGTGCGTACGGGTATTGACTTCAATATTTTTTAAGAAAAAAATGGTACGTCAATGGTTTTTTGCCAAATAAAAATTATTTTTTTAATTCCCCATCCAATTCAAAACAAATGATCTCTCTTGAATTGTTTTCCTTCAATGCGCCATTTCTGAGGAAAAAATAAACACCCAGACTTTTTGTAAGGAAACATTTTTGGACCATAGTTTATTAAGCAAACTAACATTAATTTTTCATGTAGATTCACACCCTTAAATATTTGCATAACATTAAGGAACACCCTGTATAGGTGAGTTTTTGTTATTTGGGAGGTCAGTCCAAAGCCTACCTTCTCCTCAAGTTTGTCATGGTACTTATTGGACACCCTTTATATAGAAGTCCATATACCACTGATATTGTAATGCACGAGTGCACATTAGAGACTGAAGAGCCACACTAGCTAGTAACCAGAGTGACGAGGTCATGGACACAGCTGTGGCTTGTCACAATGCCATCCGCACATACATATTGCATGCTTCTCTCTTGTACACAACCTCCTCGTCAGTGATGTTTGGATTTCTTTGTATATCACCATTATAAGCCTTTATCTCTTTCTATTCAGTACTATGACGCAAATACAAGCAAGTATCATCTTATTACAATAAGAATTGTATCTCACTCAAAACGATACAGTAAAAATAATGGTAATTATCTAGCTTAGGCCCGTATCGTCAGTCGTACCTACAATTGTAGGGCGCGTTTATGGCCTCCTTGATTGTCATACTCCTTTCTCTCCTTCAAAAATTTCTAGATTACACTTGTCCCATATTGTGAAGATGTTTTATTTTTAAATTGTAGGAAATTTCAGGCTGATAAAACATGATATAACTCAAAAGCAAGCACAATTTGATGCAAATAGATGTTTGTGACATAACCTCAACGTAGAGTTCTGACACGGAGAAATAAAAAACTATGACAATCCAGGAGGCCATACACCCTACATTTGTAGGGATGACTGACGATACAGGCCTAAGGTACACCTTATTTGTTTCTCTATCCAAATAGACTAAGTTTGATTGTAAATGAGATTAAAAATGCCAGCAAATGAGAAAGCTGCAGAGTATTGTTGATATCTAGGTGTTGCCAATCATGACATTTGCAGAATGAAACAGATCTAATACATTGCTATATTGAAAAATATAAGAAAATTAACCAAAACACACATTTCCACGCAAAGCAGCTTCTGGTTTTCCATAGAATTTTTAGAGTTTGTAGTCATACATACAAATTCACAATTTGGGTATCAAACCATTGGGAATGTGATGGTAGAACATCATTATTGTAAAATATTTCAGGACTTTAAAATTTGCATGGATTTACAGTCCTATTTCTTTCATCTACACCCAAAAACTAGGGTCTTAAACAATATTTTTCATAAAAAGTTATTAGTAGTATTTAGGGGTTATTGCAGGTTTAATGTGTACACAACAGTGTAATTAATTCTACACAAAGAAAATCTTGGATGGAAGACTTTTTATATGGGATTTTTTTTACAAAATACTATTTTCTAGCAATACCTTTTTGTCAAATACAAAACAAGTAACATTGGAGGATAAATAACAGGAGATATGATAATGCTAATAAAAGAATTAAAAATGAGTAAATAAATAATCTAAAACAGTTATTGGGTGCAGATGAAAGAAATGGGACTGAAAATGAGCATAAACATGAAAGTTCTTTAATATGTTTTCATTGATAGATATTCTTGATAATTAAATTTGTATGTCTGACTTCAAACTGCACACAACCCTACAGTGTCTAATGCACTAGCGCCATAACTTAAAGGGGAACAAATTCTACACTAGAGAGAGCTGTTACGCGTGGAAATGCGTATTTTCGTTAATTTTGTTATATTTCTTTTAAAACCTAGATAACATAAACAATATTATGCAACTAACCCATTTGTGGGCATTTTTAATCTCATTTCCGTCATTTACAACTCAAACCTAGTGTCTATTTGGGTGGAGAAACAAAAAAGGTTGGTGTAGCTAAGCTAGAGAATTACTAAATATCCTACCCTATCTAGGGTAACTTATTTTGTGTTACTTTAGACATCAAGGTATTGCTGAAAAATGGCGTTTTGAGGAAACAAATTCAAATATGAAAACAGAATTACAAATTGGACTGTTGTATGCACGTTAACCCAGAAATACGTGGTTATGTTAAATGTACCATCACCAGCTAGATATTTACCAAAATAACTTTGGTTTTTACAGCATTGAACGTTTGATCAGTTTATTATATTACAAAAACATGAATTCATCATAACTACCTCCTCTACCACCGCCACTGTCTCTACCGCCTCCTCTGCTGCCACCTCCACGGCCTCCACCTCTACTGCCCCCACCACTGCTGCCTCCTCCAAAACTGCTTCGATTCCCTCCACTGTAACTGCCTCGAACTCTCATGGGGCCCCCTCCGTCTCCGTCCTTTCCAAACGGCCTGAAAACAATGTTTCGCTGACTTTCGGAGACACCATTGTATTTTTGTGATTACGTCAGAAGAGCTAAATCTATTATGAAAATACTTACGCCCACGAAATCTATTATATTTAATTTCTTATACTTACATCTTGGAAAAAAGGGATTGATAACTGTATCACAAATAAACTTCGACTTTGGGTGTATGCAGAAATTCTCTGTGCGTCTTCCTAGCTTTTCATACGAAAATAGGAAAGAAAGATGGCGGACGGGGAATGAAAGTGAAGTGACGCTAGACGCTTATGTCAGCTTTATGACAGGTAACTCGTATACAGAGTTGCCGAACTGAAAAAGACGAAATCGGTAGACAGCGACGTTGAAATTCAGTAGACGCAAGCACAAAAGGCCGCGGCTCGCACTGAAATCAAAACTAATTCGTGAATTTGGAACAACCAAAATTTTAGCACTCTGACAAAATCCGTAGAAAAATGCAACATTTTAGACCATATCAAAATCTGCCATGAGATTTTAACAATGCCTGAAAGATTATCTTCTCCCTCTTTGCACTCATTCTTCCTTCTCTCCTTTCATCCGTCTCAAGATCAGCGATGGATCAAGAGACTTTGCGCCATGCAGCGCCCTCTTTGAAAAAAGTATATTTTTATATTGCGCGCACATACACAACACATTTTTTGAGGGCATCTGTTCCTCAAAAAGTTCTTTATTACAACTTGTACAATGAACATACTAATCGCTCTTCAAGCTCCTTTGCAGCCATCATTGATACGCCTTTGCCATTCTTCGATAAGATTCTAATCAAATTCAACCGGATAACCAAATGGAAATGGTATGTACCATTTTGGGTTGGTATTTACCGATCCGTTCAAGCGAGTGTACTTATCAGTTTGGTTATAACAGGTGGGCTGAAAAGTCCGTATCGTTTCTATGAGATGGCGCCACCAGAATAAAATCCATACGCTTCTTAGCTAGTACCAACCTTCAAAAGATGCCTGTCAAAATTTGACAGCTCTCGGATCATTAGTTTTTGAGTTATCGTATCGAGAGTGACGCTACTTTTGTTATTTTTGAAAACCATGGAAAGTCAAGAGTTTCGTGTGTTAATGAAACATTATTTTTTGATGAAAAAAAGTGCCGTCGAATGCAAGAAATGGCTTGATGAGTGTTATCCGGACTCTGCCCCGGGCGAAGCAACCATTCGCAAGTGGTTTGCTAAATTTCGTACCGGTCACATGTCAACTGAAGACGACGCACGCAGTGGACGCCCAAAAGAGGTCGTTACGGACGAAAACGTGAAAAAAATCCACAAAATAATTTTGGGAGACCGCAAAATACGGTTGATTGACATAGCTGAGGCCTTAAACATATCAAAAGAACGTGTCAGTCACATCATTCATGAATATTTGGATATGCGAAAGCTCTGTGCGAAATGGGTGCCGCGCAATCTCACATTTGACCAAAAGCAACAACGCATCGACGACTCTGAGGCCTGTTTGGAGGTGATTTTGCGCAATAAAACCGATTTTTTTCGCCGATACGTCACCATGGATGAAACATGGCTCCACCACTACACACCGGAGTCAAATCGCCAGTCGGCCGAGTGGACGGCTGCATCCGAACCACCTCCGAAACGTGGAAAGACGCAACAGTCAGCAGGCAAGGTTATGGCCTCTGTTTTCTGGGACGTGCAAGGAATTATTTTCATCGACTATCTTCAAAAGGGCCAAACTATCAACAGCGACTATTATATAGTGTTACTGGAGCGTTTGAAGGCCGAAATCGCCAAGAAACGGCCACAAATGAAGAAAAAAAAAATCTTGTTTCACCAGGACAATGCGCCGTGCCACAAGTCCATGAAAACGATGTCGAAATTGCATGAATTGGGCTTCGATTTGCTCCCCCATCCACCGTATTCTCCGGACCTTGCTCCAAGCGACTATTTCCTCTTCTCAGACCTTAAGAGAATGCTCACCGGAAAAAAATTTCACAGCAACGAAGAAATCATCGCCGAAACTGAAGCCTATTTTGAGGACAAGCCGAAGGATTACTACCGGAAGGGTATCGAAAAACTTGAAGAACGTTATAATCGCTGTATAGCCCTTGAAGGCAACTATGTTGAATAATAAAAGCGAATTTTGACGAAAAAAATATTTTTTCATTGAAACGATACGGAATTTTCAGCCCACCTGTTAAGATCCGTGACGTCACGAATCAGCTGTTATATGTCATAGATATCACCGAAAAATTGTGGTATTTACCCAACTCAAGAGTAGTTTTATATTTCTGGTTATTATTTGAAATGTGACAAGTTAGAATTTTGCCGGGTATTGGATATTGTTATTGTACTTCAGCTTCATTTTTGAGAAAAATGATACAGGCTGACTTCAGTTTTACCATAAAGTGGAGCACCTTATTAGTTATACTCATTACGGTTGTTGGGGGCACTTTAAATGTAGTTCCTATGCTTAACAAAGTATCCTGTGTAGTCATATACCACAAGAATATTAAAATATGGCCATATAAACTCACTAGATGATATCCACCTGTATACGGTTTTGCTAATTTCTTTTTTCATCATTTCTGCTGAATCAATAAATGTTTTCTTTGACATGCGGAAAAATTTAGAGAATTGAAGGTTATCATAACCACAAAGCCATGGTTCCATCATTAAAAAAAAAAATCCGAAAAAAAACATTTCTCCCATGAATATTATGAAAGGTTTCTTATTTAAACGTTCCATATACAGTTGTAGACGAAAAAGCACCGATTATTAAGTGATAATAAAATAATCAGAGATTATATACGCGCTTTTCTAAAATAAACAACTTGCAACAAAACCGCGGTTAAAACCAACGCGTTCAAGCGATTCGTGTAACTGACGTCATCAACCCGTGTGTCATCTTGAACCATATTATAACCGCGACACATAACACAGAAATTTTGGTTATTCGCTTGGATTTGATTTCTGAATATTTTTCTGTTCCTTTCCTTAACTTGAAGCCTCTGACATTTTGATTTAATATTTAATTAAATACAGGCCTGCTTCGGTTTTCTTATTGCTTTGTGCTGATGTGATGATGACGGTGATCTAATAGTCTGTACCTGTTATACACAAAAAACAATACAGGGATAGCGGAATAAGGGATGTGCGAACATATTAATTATTGTAAGCAACCCAAATCTACATGTATATGTATCTATGTACAACTGGTATGGGACAAAAAACTACATTAACTACATAGAATTCATTTTTTTAGATCTTTACCGTAAAATAATCTGGAAAAATCTGGATTATTTTGAAAAATCGTGGAACATGAGGACGTTTTTGGCATCTCCTTAAATATCCCAATTCCTTAGAAATACCGAAAAATCGTTAGGTCCGTCAACAGTGCTAATATACTATAGTGGATACCAAATAAAATCCGATGCACGTCATAGGTGATGTTATTCATAAAAATCATGGTTACCAACAGTTGACTACATTCAATGTGACATTTCTACTTGAAGTTTAAATTTCCCCGTCTCGATTCGGTTGGTAGTGCCGTGCAGAGAAATGTGAGGTTGCCACTTCTCATTTGTTGACATCAGTTGCCATTGTCCTTTTGTCGTACTATTAGTTCTTTATTGTTTAGTTTGTGAGTTTTGCGCTATTTGAGCTTTGAGTCGTTGCCTTGCCAATTAAAAATTGTTCTTTTCAGAGCAACAGTTACTGTGAAGTGGTGTAAAATATCCAAAATGCCAAAACAACTTAACAGTCGGTGTAAGGAGCTCATATCATTGAATATCTACCAAAATCAGGTGTTTTTATTCAGAAAGGAATTTAATTTTACAACAAGTTTATTTATTTTTAATATAATGGTATTATAGTAAATGGTAGGTATATATAAACAATTTATTTTATTAAATTTATTTGCTTAAAAGAAAATGTGCAAATTCTGGCAACAGCGCACAGCTCCAGATCGATGACGTGCATCGGGTTTTATTTGGTATCCACTATAGTTACCAAACTAAAAGGCGCTTTCGCAACTTCAGCTTAACTTAAATCGGTCCCACACGATGTGGCGAATGCCTTACAACGTTGGATATATGGCCGTTCACCACATCGTGTGGGAGAGCGCTTACGGATTGCATGTGTCCAACGTACGCCACATGGCACGTTCGGGCTCTTGTCGGTAAATTTGACCCGCGTCAAAGGATGTTACAACGTTGGCAGCATGATTCGTTACGCCCCCATACGAGATATCAAGTATTTGATGGTTTTAGGTTAGAACCAATAGCAGCGAAAAACATTATTTACTTATTTGCTGTGATTGTGGTGAAGTAGTGTTGTGTGGGAAGTATTTTGATTTGAATACCTTCCTATTCATAATAATGTTTGTTCCGTAACTAACTTTTGGGGAGAATGAATTAAATTATTATACATACAGAGCAAAGGCTGTCATAACAACAATTTTTTCATGTAGCTAATATTTTACGGTGCAAACAGCCATTCCACGTTTGCTCACTAGGATCGTTGTGAGCGTCCACCTATGGAGGAATGACTCAACCACACGCATTGTTGGTGGCATATGTTTTGTGAAGCCGAGTAGTCTGTAGTTTTCATCTATGAAAAGAAATTTGGTTGAATAGCAAGATCGCATCTGGCTGATTATGTGTATTGATGAAATCACTGATATTTGCTGTGTGAGAAAATTATCACTGAATATGCTGCCAATGAAGTATATCTATTAGCTGTGCCCGACGGGTTATTTATATGTCGTCCTTTCTGAAGACAGGTTAAGTTAAAAGTTATAAATTACGATTTTTTAAGTTTTTTGTGTTTTCACAAACTTCGAGGAGAATTACAGGAAATCACCACCGGGTCCGCGTTGTATTAATTACTTATAGCATGTATATGACTTGTAAAGCGACAGTATGCAGTGAATATAATTAATTCTAATCTATCATTTTTTAAATTCAGCAAATTTTCATATGTAATTTCCAGAACGGATAAGAAAAAGTGGATGCGCAACAAATTTCTAGCTTTGAATCTCAAGTAAGTGTACCTATTTGAGACAAGAATCCAATGGAATTATCATCAACACATATCATTAGTACACAAATCCTCACTATATGCACCTGTGCATTGCCGTTTCCTTCTAGCTATAGACAGCTATGTGTGTATTACAGCTTAGACCTCCAGTAATGCCATCTCTGTAGCAGATCTTACATCACATTAGAGCCAAACATTGATAACTGAAGCCTCATGACGTTTAGGCAACATGTACAACTACAAAACGAGTTCACAACGTGACCATCAACTAGTGTTAACATCTTGTA